TTGAAATCTCATATTGATGAGAAAAATGATTTCTGCGTCTTGGGAGACTGGAACAGAATCTCATAAATGTAATACTTAGGAGTATCCCCTTGCACATGGCAACAAGATTTCTATCTGTCGCAACTCCTGTGGGATTCTTGCTCTACAGGAAACGTTCCTTCGCATTCTGATATAAGATTTATCGGATGAATTCATCTTGGAGAGGATTGGTCTGTCTGACAATGATGCAAGGACGATGATTGTCGCAACTAAATGCCAAGGAAATTGAAATGGCAAACCATCAGGCACAGCCTTCTATTTCTTTTGTCTTGATGCTGATGCCATTCCCAAGAGACTCTTTAACTGACTGGCTATGAGAAGCAGAAATTTCTTACAAAGGCAACAATACCAATAGGAAGATACAAAATATCACTCCTGTAATTTCTGATAATTGCATTAACTTTTGATCTTAACACACAAAAACATTTCACACCTGAAAATTTTTACTGAGAACTCCTGTCTTCATCTGCAGGATGACCTAAATGTTGATCCGATTTGGGGTCATCCATACATCTTCAATGTAATGGATTAGTATATTATTTATTTATTCATTTATTTGTTGTGTTTTTTTAAGATCAAAAGAGAATGCAGTCATTGGATAAATTGTCATTTATGACTAGAAAGCTGCTAGACTATCGAAATGTTGGCATACTAATAATAAGGCATCCTCACTGTGATTGTACTTAATAATAAGCTTGAGAATACGGTATCCAGCATAAAAATCCAGTCTTTAGCCATGTTAGCATTGGACTTAAAGAAATTTGTAAAAGTCACCGTGAGCGATTGTTGACATTCCGTTGTAGATATTTTACCATGCGCCTGCACTTTTTATTTAATTTTGGCCTGTGGAAAGCGATCATTCGTTGTGTAAATTCTACCATAATTTGCTCCTCGGATTCTTATGAAGGGGCTCTGCTATTGACCTTTTAATCTAAAACTAAGTGTGGTTGTGGAAAAATGTACCAAGTAATATTGCTGAACACAGCAACAATATGGTGGAATCTCACACACAGTATGTGGGCCCACATGTGTGAATTACGGTACAGAGGCAGTTTAGGTGACCAATACGGACTGCACGTGATCAGTGCAACGCCCAGCTTTGCATAGCGGTGGCTGTCTGCATGTGACTTTTCACTGATTTTAAACAAACAGTGCAATTCTTTCGCGACCCAGTTGGCCCTGTAAAAGTTGCCACTTGTGTACCATAAAACTTACAATTGACAGTAGACAATTGACAATTTAGAAAGTTTACGATCTGTCTGCGCTGGACTCAATTTGGTTTAAAAGTTAACAACAGTCTTTTTTAAGTTGACAAAAGTCTCCAATAGTTTTATCCAAAAAGTCTAATGGGAACAGTGGTTTAGTAAGCTTGTATGACCAACTGGTCACTTCATCTCACGCCTTAGGCTAGTTTAGTTCTGACCATTATCAGGAGAAACCACTGGTTTGTCTCAAATGATAAGATGACCGGGAGATATTTCAGGTGTCATTACTGCAATGCCTCCTCAGATACCGATCTGTCATCCTACAAAGCCTCAAATCACTGGAGTATGATGTCCCTATTGATGGAATCTAGAAATAGATGCTGCAATGGGATCTACTAAGACAATTGCTCAAGGGCAGATTTCAGCACTTGTTTTTAATTTGGCCAACATTACGGAGAATCATTCCTAACGTGTACCAGTATTTCTTGTATCACTGTAGACATTCATACCATTGGGGAAATCACATGTAAATGTCAAACTACATCCCGTTGCTATCGGTATGTTTCCTTGCTTCATGTTATGTTGCTGTGTGTTGCACAGTTTTTGCTGGACCAGCACCCGATTTCATGAAACTCATCGTAACTTACGATGCATCTCAGTGTTGCAATGCGTCGTATCCCTATGATGCGTCGCAGCTGCGACTCATCCTGCGGTTCATTTCACCAAACGCGTCGTAAATGCGATGCTTCATAGGCTTATTTATAGCAAAACATGGTGACCTTGTGTATTTATTTTTCAATGTACAGTAAATAGTCGTCTAATATTTAGCAAAGATTTGTCGGATCTCCTCTCTAAAAGTGTTTGAAACATAAAACAAAATGGCAGACGTACATGTATGATGCAGTTTTAAAGGAACCCAACCTCGCGGTGGACTGTATAGCTACTTTGAAATTTCAACTACATTATTCCAGGCTAATTCATATTACTTTGTTGCATGTTCCATTTACAACTTCACACACATTGTCTCGGTATTATGTAGTCTCATTTATGTTATTTATATGGCATGAAAATGGGCAAGATGACACTTCTTATTTTGCGATGACCATTAGACGTGTTTAAGTCATTGTCAAGGAACTTACAACGTTTTCAACACATAATAAGTTTTGTAAAATTGATCATACAAGTAACAACACATTGCAAGTTGTGATGTGTTACGCGTCGCAACTGGAGTTATGATGCGTCGTAGCGCTTTGTGAAATTGGGGTGCTGAAGGACCAACCAATTATGACTGACTGAGTCACTGACTGAGTCACTGACTGACTGATTGATTGACTGAGACACTGACTGACTGACTCCCCCACTCCCCGAGTCACTGACTGACTGACTGACTCCCCAAGTCACTGACTAACGGAGTCACTGACTAACGAAGTCACTGACTGAGTCTCTAATTGACTGAGTCACCGAGTCACTGCAGACTGGCTGAGTCACTGACTGACTGAGTTACTGAGTATAAATAATGTCCTAGACTCTGAGACTTCCAGGTCTGGCTCAACTAGGCTAGCCTATTCTTGTTTGACCATTACCCTGATCAGCTGGTTGTGTAACTGTATCCTACCATCCAATTTAGCTTCAGAAGGCAAGCACTTCTCGCTGGCAAGGATGAACTCTTTCACAAAGTCCACGGATGGTTTCAAGTGTTGAAATGTTGGAGGGTCAAATCTCACGTGGCTTGGCAAGAAGGTGTGGAGAGAATGTCAGTAGTGCATAGGATAGGAATGGGCCTGTTCTAATGTGACATGAGATGCAGCAAGTCCCAGGTGGATCTTGGGACTTGATTTGCTCATTTGTACTTCTCTTCATGAATATTTATGACTTGGCCTAATTCTTTTGTCTGAAGAAAGTTGATTAAGAGATGAATTATGTGGATTTTTTTTTTTTTTACAATAAAAAATTGACATGAAAACGTATTTTTGAGCAGGCATGAACTTCAGTAAAGCTGGATGTGGATTTGAGAAATCCTGCTATTTTGAATTGGACTACCGGTAAAAAAAAAAAAAGATATCACAGAGACGATTCTAAAAACTGAGTTTTGCAGTGACTTTTGACTGTAGAAAATTTTACCGAAACCATGGCTTAAGTACTGGTACATGTAATCATCATCATCAGACGTCGTAGGCTACTGCCCGTTGACGCAACAACCGTCCACTTCTTCTGAGTTTTGTGGCTGGAGCAGGGGTAATTTTGCATCGGTGCAGTGCTGCAGCAGTTAGTTCAGCCAAGCTAAGGCCACTCCACTTGGTGAGGCCGTCGATCCAACAGATTTCAAGTCTGCCGACACAGCGGTGGTATCCAAGTGGGGTTCCATCAAGCACTGCCGATGCAAGACCACCCTGTCGTACTGCATGACCAAGCTCAGCAGCTTTCTGTTCTTGGATTGTGTCGGCAGTGAGACACCATCTGTCGCCGATCAGTGTTTTGAGACTCTCATTTGAGACAAAGTCTGACCAGCGGATTCCAAGTAATCGAGCTGGGCATTAGCTTGTGTCCTCACGATCTGCCGTCCTATGTCCTAGGTCGTCATAACTTGTGGAACGTTATTTGCCAATATTATTGAACAGTAAATAATGTCTTGTCGTTAAGTATATTAAAATATTTAATGATGTCCACAATACCTTCAATAACTTTCCTTAAATAAATGTACACAACTGAAGCGCATTGTGAGAAGAAATGATTCCAGAAATGCCGGCCAGATAACAAGTTTGCCTGACGAAAAACTGTTCCTGGAAGTTTTTTAATGCCGATGGCAAATCTATTTTTGGAGCTGACCCTCTTGATGAGAATCCTCAATAAGAAACAATAAAAAAAAAAGTTTCTGGTCAATTCAAGTCAGAGTCATCATCCAGCCCCCATCATCAAAGTTCTGTCTCCAAATAATCCCTAAAGCATGGATACACATCCATTTCTCTCTTTGTACACCATTTCCTCCTAAGGCAATTGATGACAGTCTAACCAAGAATCATCCCTGAGATCATAATTTACCCTATTAAGCCACCTGTTTAAGAGACATTCGGTCTTCATGGGATCCTGTAAGTCTTTCTAAAAGCTATAAATGGCAATCTTGAGAAATGGGAAAACTTAAACCACAGAGCAGGTGCATCATTGCATGATGTAATACAGGCCATTTGATTTTATGAGGTTCATGAGATGTAGGTCATTATGTCTGGTTAGACATGTACATGCATGTAGAAGACATTGGTTTTGTTCATGGAACCAGTACTTTTAGCAGCCAAACTTGTACTTTGGGGGTTGGCCATGTGCTTTCAACTCAGTGTTATGATGAGGGCAATTGACCTCGCACATATGGTAGTTAAGAAAACCTAAACATATTTCTACAAGGTAAATCAGGAAAATGTTATCAGGTGATATTATAATGAAATGTAAATTGTGCATCCCACAGTTACCCATCCCATCCCATCCCAGACCAACCCATCATCATCCCTTCCAGTCTCTCAAGTGCCCCTTTTGAAGAAATCTGTGCGAATAATAATATATCTCCTTTTTTTGGGGGGGGGGGGAGTGTTAACTTTCACAGAAGAAATGTTCTGAGCACTGTACCATCCATGTTCTTGATGAGAGCTTGTAAGAAAACAAGCATTCTCAGGTTAGGGCCTAAACCATGACGTCATACTTACTCATTGTTTGACAGTGATACATGAACTGATACATTGTCTTGATGTGATTGTTTTCTGTGCGCAGGTTGTGTATGGTCTTCCATTTGGTCCAGAGATTGACATGTGGTCTGTTGGATGCATCTTGGCTGAGGTAACAAATAATAATTAAAAAAAGACGACTCATGAGATTTGACATTCTGTTGTGAATTATGCTGTGATGAAGAAATTCTAGGGCAAATGTAACAGTGCTGTAAATTGTATACAGCCCAAAACATGTTGGTTGTATTAAGGCCAGTTCACCAGTTTCATGTGAATGTGATTGCGAAGAGAATCTGGCGTCACACAACATTCACTATACAAAATTCACCGGAGTTGAAATACATCTATGTTCACCTTTTACGAATTCAAGCACGCATGCTTAAGGAATACTTCAATTTCTCATTTGACTTCTTGCCTTTCTCCTTAGTTATATCTCGGAGAGCCTCTATTCTTTGCTGTCACCAAAGAAGAGCTTCTACAGAAGATGGTAGCTGTCCTTGGCCCACTTCCTGTCCAAATCTTCCAAAGAGGAAAGTTCTTCTCAGAGTTTGAGTGCTTCATTGGCAAGTCACATACTCAGCTGGGTAAGAATATTTGGAGACATGGTCCTCTGTGTTGTAATCAAGACCATGTCAGCGGAATGTTTCTGATAGCGGAGAGGCTCGGTCCATACATGTCTTTAGCAGGGTATAGAAAAGTCAAGGAATGGGGAGGAGGTTGCAGATGTCCTCCCTGTCTTCCACTGTTTTTGCTGCTGCCTATGACTCCATTTCCAGGTTCCCAAACACACTGAAATATTGAAGGTTGTGTAGCAGGAATCAAGCCTTTATCACTTGGGTTGTGCTGCCTGAGTACTTTGAATGAGTAGCAATATGAGTGTTGAACTCAAAACTGATAAAGATATACAAGATGAGTACAAATACCTGGTAGTTGTACACGGATTTCTGCTTAAGTTCCTATCCAAGTCCTTTTGCAGATTCTTGAACTTTTCAGCATACCTTTTTTTCCAGAAAACTCAAATTGTTTGCCCAACCTGTCTAGTTCGTCAGGTTTAATTCCTACTATTGTACCAGCTTACATATGTCAATGTAATGTTGGACTCAGAAAAGGACTGTAGATATTGTGTTTTATTCAAATATTTTTGGTAGCTGTATGACATGTGTGCAAAAGTACATACCTCCCAAGGAAAATGACAAAAATGTTGATACTAAAGGACACTGGAGTGCTCTTGTTGTTCTGGGCCAATCTGTTGTCTCTATCTCATACGCTACTGCTTTGTACTCATTTCAGTCATTGTGATGGATCACAATTCATCACAAAGCAATCACAAGTCAATCTTAAGTCATTGAGTTCCAAGTCAACTCACAAGCCATTCAAACTAAAGTGTGACAAGACATTCCTTTGTTTTTGTGCATTTCCTGTTAAATGTGACTGGACTTGTGAATTGACGTGTGATGGTAATTGTTATCTATAGTAAGTAAGTCGTCTTCCACACTGACTTGTTGTGCACATGATGTGTTCTTCCTTGGACCCTACAAGTATGAGTCGTTCACAGAGCATACATGTACATCTAGAGTTCCTGTGTGGAGTCCATATTACATGTACATGTAAAAACCTATATCTGGCTATGTTGCCTTGTCAAAGTACCATAATTACAAACTTGGTAAACTGCATGCCTTTCATTCCTCAGAAGCCAAAGAATGCTTTACACATTAAAAAACCACATAACCATCACCGTTGTAGACTCCCATTTCCACTGCCTGAAGCTAAAATTAAAAAATAATGGTCCAAATTATGCGCTACTTACAAAATGTACATTTATAACTGCAGGTATTTGTACAACTACCGGAACATGTATAATAGCAGCAACTACCTGGAAATATTCTGGGCTTGAAGTCACAAGAGAAATTATTATTACTGGATGGAAACAAAGATTAAGTTTGATAAAAAATAACATTTTTGCATAGTGCTTTGCATTTGACCCTTAAATAGAAAATTTGGGAAAATTGAAAAACCTAAGTTTAATTTAAAACTTAAATTTTAACTTAAATTGAATGAGAAATATTGATAAAAGTAAATTGATATCCATACTTAAAATCAACTTTTCACTTTCAGGGTAAATAAAATCCCCCATTTTATGAAAATTAGAGAGCTCAGTACTTAAAAAGCTTCCTTAAATCATCCCTTGTTGCACTTCCCCTAATTTGTAAAATTCATTGTCCCTCATCTTAAGATGCTCCAAATTTACTTTCCATCATCGTCCAAACAACCACACCTGAGCCCCCTGCGTTCGTTAAGCATCGACAGCCCGCTAACACCGCTGGACATAAATTTGTAAGAGGAGAATCCCTGTTTAATGGGAAACGTAATCACTCAGTGCCATCCCACTATCATGATGATATACAGCAGCCTATTTGCAATAATCAGTTTACTGACAGAAATAGCGGATGTCCTAGTTTCCTCTATGACATGATTAATCTGAGTCTCCTGCTCCCAGCCAGCTATGTGGATAGAGCTTTCATAACACACCATGCTGTCATCAACTTAATTGCATTTTTCAGATGATAATATGAAGTTTAAGGGGTCACTCTAAGTGTGCACAGGTACCCATGTGCTCCATGCACAAGCACCCCCTCAGTGGTAAGAAAGGGAGAGTTGGGAGAGACCACTGGAAGAGTCATTAGAAGACACTCACACAAAAGACGCTATGACTTTGAGTATATTCCAAACAAAATTAGTTGTGTGTGTGCGAACCAGTACTTACACACAGTGTGTCCCATCCATGGATCTTTCAAAAGGGATGAAAATATGTCTTGTCTTGTTCTGGCACAAAACCCATATACTATCTAGTTGCCACAAGTACAAGACTCCAATGTCAGTCACACACTCTTGATTTGAGATGTGACACTCTTTCTGCCTTTAGCTTAGCAGACACTAGTAACCCACAAAACTATCGTGCAATTGATACCGCATATTACTAGTTCCTGGCTGAGCTTAGGGGCACTAGGTCCTGAAATCCCCGAAAATTTCATGTTTTGGCTTGTTTACTTATCCTATTTCAAACATGTGGTTGAAAGTAAACCAACCTAATGTCTTATCGTTCCCGAGAAAAGACGAAAAATCCCCTGTTGTTTACATCGGACACGACGGAGTACAGATACGTTTTTCGTGTCGTTCTCATACAGTGTACGATATGTACATGTACGTTGTGTGTCTCGGGAACAGCGGTGACCAATCACCAATGCAAAAAATGTGGTTTCTTCAACGTCCACAAAAGGCGAACACTTTACGAATGAAATCACAACTAGCATCCAAACAGCTCGAATTTATGGGGTCGCAAAAGTGGACCCCGAAATTCGTTCTCGCACGCATAATACAGGAATAACACAAAAACGCCCAGTTTTGAAAGGAAAGTTGTGTGGATGTTTATATCCTACTTTTAAATGTTATTTCCGATAAACATCATCTCGTTCAAAGCGCGTTTTGTAGCACAATTGGGCTGTTCTGGACCTAGTGTCCCTTTAAGCTTAGCAGGTCAAGCAGTAATCTGTGCTTAGCAGCCTCATGCAACTAGGCCCTGGATTGACCACATGTTGACCCTATCCAGGTCAGCCTAGCTTCGTAAGCCCTGTCTGCATACCTAGACATTTCTGGTGTAATTAGGGTTGGGAGTTGCTCCAGACATTTATGTCCACCTTCCTGTTTGATAAACTACCACTAATGGAGCTACTAAATATCCCTATGGAAATACTGGACTGAATACTGCCATCTGGCTAGTGTCTGGTTCAGAGAGAAATGGTTTTATGTTTATTTGCCCTCTGAATAAGGTTGTGATGTTCAGGCCTTCCACTCTAGGAATGACACACGCAATGATTCAGATCTCTTCATGTAAAAGTCATGCACATTTTGTTGGCCATAGTTCTGCAGTTTTTGGTTGACATCATCTGGTGGAGTATTGTTTGATGATTTTTAGGGGTTGTGAGAAACGACACACTGATTAAAATTGTGTTCCCCATGCTATTTCCGAGTTTGAAAGATAAATTCCTTTTCTAAATTGCTATTCTAGCAATACAACAGTTATTCACTTTTAATTGACCTCGACTGAAAACAAATTGACCCAATGTTTAGTTACTGAATTATTATATTGCAATTTTGAATTTATATTGGCTGCCAGACAAGAATTCCATTTCTGCAGGGTAGCTGGTTCCTGCCCCACAATCAGTATCAATAATGTATGGACTGGGAGCCAGTCTACTCGCAAAGTGATCTATTTGTACCCCAAACAAAAATCTCTTTTTCAAAGGGTTGTAGACATCAAAAAAAGGGGGGAGGAGGTTTTTTGGTTGGAACAAAACATACAACCTGAACATTTATTTATAGAAAAAAAAAAGAATTTGTTGAAGAAAAAGGGGAACGCAACTTTAATAAAGTCTCAAAGAACTATGTACATGTAGTGAAACCACATGGGAAGACACAGGGCTTGAAAGTTGAGTGGTTGGGTACAGGATTCCATTGGTCAGGGGTTCCAATCCCCACAAAGTCATTTTCCTTCATCAACCACAAATTAAACATTAATTTCCATTTACTATTATTGAAACAGTCATTTTGATTTCAAACTGGAGTTCTCTTTTATGAGCCATTAGTCACATTTGCTCAAACTGAATAATGCTGTGTTGATTGTTGGCTAAGACAGTTGGCAGTTTGATTGAATTTGTTTTCTTGTTTTTTACCCCGTTTGACAGAGACGCAGGGCAAGCTATTCCGCAGGCTAGGGGAGCTACGGGATTACAACTTTGGTAGTTTCATTCTCTCTATCCTGCAATACAACCCAAGTAAGTCCTATCCTAAACCTTATTGTTTGGTGAATGCACACCAAGCATACACCTGTACAGTCAAACCACCTTGAGATGCCGGCTCTCGTTAAAGTATCCACTATGAGCAAATATCCTAATTCTGCAATAATTTGTGATAATAGGATTTTTTTTAATTCATTGAAATAGAAGTTTGACCAGGAGTGTGCTCCGAATGATGAATTCTAAGAAAATTTGGCTTTGCAGTGCAACCCTTCATGCAAGTTGTATCCACCATCTTGAATCTTAATCTGAAAAGGGATGAAGGATACCTATACGTTCATTGAGAACAGTTTCTAGCAAACTTTCCAAATGCTGTTTGTCCTATGTTATACAGGCATGATGATTTATTCATTGGAAAAATGTCATTTTTTAGATCGGATCATATCTAGGTGTCTCTGAAGAGGATAATTGGTTTTAATATTTGATGAAGATTCAAGGCTTAGTAACTGTCTCATCTCCAGAGCATTGATATGAATGTGAACTCAATTCAGTATTTGTCCAGGGTATCACAAATTAAAAGTCCTTCAGATTCAACATGATGGATAAGCAGCATCCAGCAGATCATAATGGTTAATGATCCACACAACCCGCCCTGACTAATGATCTGTAATTGCTGGAGTTTTGTTGTCATTAATCCTAGGTGAGCGAATCTCCATAAGTGATGCCTTTCTTCATCCATTTCTTGCCCCAGAAGTTGCTGGCAGATTTCTTGTACCTCCCAGCTCCAATGGTAAACACCAGCTGTCACTGATGGTTGTAGTTGAATCAATCACAGGTCCTCACAAGTCCCCACAAGTCCCAACAAAGTCCCCACAAAGTCCCCACAAAGTCAGTCACAAGCCAATCCCATGGCATTCTTCTGTTATTGTCCATGCTGTGTTACTTGCTACCAGACTTGTGAATTGATTTCTGATTTACTTGTGAACGGACGACTTAAGTTGTGATGGACTCAACGTCAACGCAAACGCTTGTATAGCTGTAATGGCTGTAATGCCTGACCTACTCTTTGTATGGACCCATGCTATGGTGCTGATAACCCATAAGCACCTTTACGACATTGTACCGGGTATTTATACCTTAATGAATCAAAACCATATATCACCGATAGTGATAATACAGTGTCTAATGGATTAAGCAAAAAGATCGGATTTGGAAAGGATTGTTTTGCGGCGTTAAAGTGTCCAATGTGTTGCATTTAACAGAGTTTGAAAATGACGTTTTTGTTGGAATTGATCTTCACATCAAATGCAATTATTCAAGTATCATACATCAATCCCCATTTTTCTTTTCTTCATTTGTAGCTGGCACATCCATGTATAACAGAATCAACATTCCAGCGAGCATCTACTCATTATCCCCAGTAATCTCCTCAGAAATATCTGCCGATCATCTCAACAGTGTTGATCTGCTTCGACACGGTACGGCCTCAATCCAGCCAGAGCCGGTTCAAGCCAAGAGACCAAGACGTGCGGTGGCTGAAGTGGCACCGTTTACTCCCAAACAGGATATTGATGTATCAGATAGTCGGAGTGTCAGGGAACCAGTGAATGATGCAGTACCAATCAATGCACAACAAACAGTCTGTGATATCACATTGAAGGAGGAAGCACAAAGCCTCAACACTGACTTCATGGGCATGCATAATATTGCCACAGTTGCTCATAGTACTGCCTCTAGCATTCCAGAAACAATTCTGTCTTATCAAGCATCCACCAAATCAGTGAAAGAGATAAATCAAGCGCAGTACAGTGTAAGTACAGCACAGCAAGAATTAAAGGAATGCACAGTCAAGCTAGAACTACTGGAACATCTAAGACATTCAGCATGTTACAATGCTGCAAAGAATGAATCGGCTGATTGTAATAGGACTGAAGACACAAACGAAACAGGATCTAGTTGTGTTACAAATGACAGACCATTACCCAACAAGACAAACTCCAATATGGAACTTGAAGTGACCTCCAAGGAAACATTGAGAGAATCTCCTTCCTTGAGTAGCCTCAGTAACCCTGCATCCACCAGTAAAGAAATCTGTATTGGTCACGTGGCAAGTCACATTGGAAAGACAATAGAGGCAAAGTACCAGCAGCATGAGGAGCTCCCTCAAAGTCCTGCGATGACCAGGTATAAGCATCTTGAGAAGATGAAGATGGATACTGTGAGAGGAGACTTGGAGAAATCATTTGAGCGGACCGAAGACAGTGGCAAGTGGTATCGAAAGTCATTTACAGAGAAACCACCCAAAAGCAACAAGACTGAATCACCTGTTAAAAACACTACCCATCAGAAAACACCAAGAAATTCTAAGAGGATCCTTTCTTCCAATCCATCTCATCCACAAGATGAAGTCAGCGATGGCTTGATTTTATTGACTCCCTTGAGCTCTTTACAGACACCAGAGTCTTCAAAACAACAGGTGAAGAAAGATCTTGATGAATCTACTCCCAAAGGGAAACCAAGATTGTCAAGGAGGCGCTTGCAGGATGAGTCACCTCATGAAAGCACAACACCAAACAGAGAGAAGCTAATGACATGCATTGAAGCAAAGAAGACAAGCCCAGACAACAAGGTTTCATTGTTAAAGAAATCCAAGCAACTGTCAGAAACTAAGCTACTTCCCGAGTCAGTGTTAAATGTGAGTGACAAGCTTAAAGATCTTCAGAGTACAGCAACAAGGGGAGAAGAACAATCCAGTTTTGCAAATACAACTGACAATCAAATGAAAAGTGTTTCTCAAACTTCCCGATCTAGAAGGAAACTGGACAGAACTAATAAAAGCCCAAGATGTGTAGAGATAACCCCAAGCTCTAAAGATGAGCCAAATCTCTGCACAGAACTCATAGGAATCACCTCTGCCACTGATAGGAAAACCACACATAGCAGTGCAACTAAAACCTTGAGATTAACCAGTCCATCATCAAGTGCTGCATTGACTCCACGATCTGCTGTCAGAAAGAGTAAGACTCAGGCCAAGGAAAGAATCAAAGCAAAGCGAAGTCTGGCAGAACCAATCCGATGGTGGGAGTTGAATCCACGGACAAAGAGAAAAGGAGGCGGTCAGGAGGTTGTAGAGAATAAGACAACAGTCTCTGAGGTCATGCCGCAGAGAGAAGTAGAGACTGGCAACGATGACAGGAAAGATGTATCTCAGATTAAAGATGAGAAGGAAAGTCCATCAGTCAGCCAACCTACCAACATTCCTTCATCTTATAAGAAGCCAGGGAACTACACAAGTCAGACTCTCATTGGAAAACTTGCAGATTCTGAAAAGAAATCACTAGCAGAAGATGTGTTCAAGTTTGAGAGTTCACCCCATTCATCCAGATCTGTGCCACTTGCATCATCATCACAGTCCAAGAAACTGAGCCAATCTGTTATGAATGTTGGATTGAAATCTAGAAGAACCAAACAAGATTTTGGGAAGCAGGGTTTGACAAAATTACAGAAACACCCACATGACGATGAGAAAAATGTGTCAGAGGCAAAAGCGTTACAGAAACCAAGGATGTTAAACAGGAGGAAATCAGGTTTCATGAGGAATATGATCAAATCACAGGCTAATCTAAGATCAAACCGCCAAGAAGTTTCTTCCAAACCTACAGTCAAATCAAAACGTGACTTGGTCAGTAGAATGCAAACTTCTAGTAGTGAGAGACGTTTTGGGCTCACTCAGGGTGCTCATGAGATCTCAGTGGTGGACAGTCCAAGATCTGGTCGTAAGAGGAAGAGGAAATTGGAGCATTCACTTGATAGCAGTGAGGAGGGGATGGATACAAGGAACATTCAGAAAGAATCGCCGGATGAAGAAATCAGTGTTGGAATCATGCCATCAAGCCAGATTGACTCGTGTATTGAATTGAGAAACATCAGAGTGAAAGGGGAAGTCACTGCAAGCTGTCTGCAAGAGGTGAGTGAGAATCAGACATTACCACTTGAAAAAAAAATGATAACATTCATATCTTCAATACTAGTTCCATTAAAAAAAAATCAAATCAGTTTTTGCTGATGTTTCTTTGTATTCAGTTAATAGTCACACACAAAAAAAAAAATTCATCTATTTTGGAGCCTGGAGTGCCATGATGCCAATTCTGTTCGAAAGAAGTCGGTCTTCAAAACTTACTCACATTGGCTTAGAACTAAAATGCGTCAGGATAGGCATGTGGATGATGACTGTTGTCACTCATGTGTCAGGAATTTTTCCAGATCTTCATATGAGATTCATTCATGAATGTTTTCTTGCAGGAGTCATATCAGCAAATTAGCCTAAGCCCTGGGAAGGAGTCTGAGATGGATGCTACTAGTCCAGCATGTTCACCATCACTCCGATCAAACTCAGACAATGATGATGTAAGAATCTATCTCCCACTCTGTATATCACCCTGTCCCCCTCTATGTGTGTCTACCTGTCTGTCTGATCAAGCTCAGTGATGATGTCAGAATCTATCTCTTACTCTGTGTATCACCCTGTCCCCCTCTATGTGTGTCTACCTATCTGTCTGATCAAGCACAGTGATGATGTCAGAATCTATCTCCCACTCTGTGTATCACCCTGTCCCCCTCTATGTGTGTCTACCTATCTGTCTGATCAAGCACAGTGATGATGTCAGAATCTATCTCCCACTCTGTATATCACCCTGTCCCCCTCTATGTGTGTCTACCTGTCTGTCTGATCAAGCTCAGTGATGATGTCAGAATCTATCTCTTACTCTGTGTATCACCCTGTCCCCCTCTATGTGTGTCTACCTGTCTGTCTGATCAAGCTCAGTGATGATGTCAGAATCTATCTCTTACTCTGTGTATCACCCTGTCCCCCTCTATGTGTGTCTACCTATCTGTCTGATCAAGCACAGTGATGATGTCAGAATCTATCTCCCACTCTGTATATCACCCTGTCCCCCTCTATGTGTGTCTACCTGTCTGTCTGATCAAGCTCAGTGATGATGTCAGAATCTATCTCTTACTCTGTGTATCACCCTGTCCCCCTCTATGTGTGTCTACCTGTCTGTCTGATCAAGCTCAGTGATGATGTCAGAATCTATCTCTTACTCTGTGTATCACCCTGTCCCCCTCTATGTGTGTCTACCTATCTGTCTGATCAAGCACAGTGATGATGTCAGAATCTATCTCCCACTCTGTGTATCACCCTGTCCCCCTCTATGTGTGTCTACCTATCTGTCTGATCAAGCACAGTGATGATGTCAGAATCTATCTCTTACTCTGTGTATCACCCTGTCCCCCTCTATGTGTGTCTACCTATCTGTCTGATCAAGCACAGTGATGATGTCAGAATCTATCTCCCACTCTGTGTATCACCCTGTCCCCCTCTATGTGTGTCTACCTATCTGTCTGATCAAGCACAGTGATGATGTCGGAATCTATCTCCCACTCTGTGTATCACCCTGTCCCCCTCTATGTGTGTCTACCTATCTGTCTGATCAAGCACAGTGATGATGTCAGAATCTATCTCTTACTCTGTGTATCACCCTGTCCCCCTCTATGTGTGTCTACCTGTCTGTCTGATCAAGCACAGTGATGATGTCAGAATCTATCTCTTACTCTGTGTATCACCCTGTCCCCCTCTATGTGTGTCTACCTATCTGTCTGATCAAGCACATTGATGATGTCAGAATCTATCTCTTACTCTGTGTATCACCCTGTCCCCCTCTATGTGTGTCTACCTATCTGTCTGATCAAGCACAGTGATGATGTCAGAATCTATCTCTTACTCTGTGTATCACCCTGTCTCCCTCTATGTGTGTCTACCTATCTGTCTGATCAAGCACAGTGATGATGTCAGAATCTATCTCTTACTCTGTGTATCACCCTGTCCCCCTCTATGTGTGTCTACCTATCTGTCTGATCAAGCACAGTGATGATGTCAGAATCTATCTCTTACTCTGTGTATCACCCTGTTCCCCTCTATGTGTGTCTACCTGTCTGTCTGATCAAGCACAGTGATGATGTCAGAATCTATCTCTTACTCTGTGTATCACCCTGTTCCCCTCTATGTGTGTCTACCTGTCTGTCTGATCAAGCTCAGTGATGATGTCAGAATCTATCTCTTACTCTGTGTATCACCCTGTTCCCCTCTATGTGTGTCTACCTGTCTGTCTGATCAAGCACAGTGATGATGTCAGAATCTATCTCTTACTCTGTGTATCACCCTGTCCCCCTCTATGTGTGTCTACCTATCTGTCTGATCAAGCACAGTGATGATGTCAGAATCTATCTCTTACTCTGTGTATCACCCTGTTCCCCTCTATGTGTGTCTACCTGTCTGTCTGATCAAGCTCAGTGATGATGTCAGAATCTATCTCTTACTCTGTATATCACCCTGTCTCCCTCTTTGTGTGTCTACCTGTCTGTCTGATCACAGTGATGGTGTAAGAATCTATCTCTTACCGGCACTCTGTGTATCACCCTGTTCCCCTCTATGTGTGCCTACCTGTCTGTCTGATCAAGCTCAGTGATGATGTCAGAATCTATCTCTTACTCTGTGTATTACCCTGTCCCCCTCTATGTGTGTCTACCTGTCTGTCTGATCAAGCGCAGTGATGATGTCAGAATCTATCTCTTACTCTGTGTATCACCCTGTTCCCCTCTATGTGTGTCTATTTGTATGCTGTCCGTCCTTTGCTGTGTTTGTACATCTTCTTGAGTTCATCTGGTGCACAACAAAGTGGCAAGTTTCCACTCACCACGAAGTAACGGATCATGCACAGATACGGTACTTCATGGTGTGACCCACAATTTTATTAGCTTCATATTTGTCTCACAATTCCTGCGGTTATCCACAGCCCATTTTTCCAGAATATAAACATTTCTTTTGATTTGAGCATATTATCCCTGACAAAAGGACTAAATGTACATGTGGATAATATCCCCTGAGATATTTAATATGGAATTCACCAGTTTACTACGTGTTTATCTGTCAAAAAGCTTCTCAGACATCCAGGCTTAAGGGTTGTAGAACAGCTTTTCTTGACCTGTTTGAGTCAAAAGTTGATTTACTGAACTTTTTCTGACTTTTTTCAAACTATTCACTATAATTTATGTGAAGGTTGTGACACATCTTCTTTGTCTTTATACCAAACTTCCTGTTGGGTGTGGTAGCCTGCCTCACTTTATGATTTAGAAAACATTAAAGTAGATGACGAAAACTCATCTAAGGTTTAAGAAAATCACAATGAGCCTGGGAAAAATATGTACAAAGGCGATTGTACAAAAACAGATTTAGAAAAATATCTATAAAAAAGTCAGCGTTCCATTTCTCCACAGCGTTTAATTGCAATAAGTAGAACACAGAAGTGTGTCAGGTGTTAAGCGTCAGTGACACGCAACATGCACCTCTGAAGTCATTCCCAGACCAGACTGTTTAGAAATGGAGTAAACACTGTCTAAATATCCCGGCAGTCCAATAGAACTATGCTGACCAGAGACAGTCTTAAATCTATGCCTCTGTCATCACAAGAACGTGACGACCAATAAATAAAAAGTAAGATGTGTTTGGTCTGTGCTCACACTGAGAAGTTAGATTAGAAGTGGATCGTGATAGTTCTATGTCATAATTGACATTCTTTGGATTTTAAGGTTGATATGAGGTGATCATGATTTGCATATCATTTGCATATCATGGATAACTCCTCCCTCATTAAGATTGGAAACTCCATCCATTGCTGTGATTTTAACAATCTTGATTCCATGATAAGATATTGGTTTGTCTCTCTGTGAAATTTCTTGGATTTTATATCATGGCTTATAATTCACTTGAGTAAATGTTCCTGTTTATAAAATACCTTGTTGGAGGGCAAAACCCATTCTTGAATATTCATCACCCCAACACATATTCCATCTGATGAAGTGTAAGCAGGTGGTCTTGGGTTCAACTCTCACCCCAGTAAAACTTGTTACAGTTTTTGTGAGCATTCTGAAAGCTCTAAGCATTCAATACTTTTGATTTACATTGGTGCAGATCAAATCAATGAAAATACCATGACATTTAATGATATACATGTACATTGATGATTGGAATCTTTTCACTGATTTTTCTTTCTGTACACAGGAGGTGCTTCTACTGTGAATATAGCAATGGCAGCCATACAGAGGATGATGAGTAGACTTGAACTCCATGTCATCATTGGAGCTCCATTGGAGACTGAAACATCCACCAGATTTGAGGATCTTTGGAGACCAATTTCGTGGACTCGCAATAAGCAGACAATTATGCTTAGCAAAGTTATGTGCTGAGAACCAGCTATATTCAATGTTAGATACATGTGACGTGTTGGCTGGTAACCCAAGTTGCTTAGCAACCATTTGTCTGTGCATAGCAGCTTAATGAAATGGACCTCTTGTGTGTTTGTGCCTGAAATTTGTATACATTTACATAAATTATGTGTAAAGCAGTTTTTATTTGTAAATATGATTTTAATACATTCCATGCATCTGATGCAGTTCTGACTTTGTCCATGATTTTGATATTGTAATATTTCAACATCAGTTTTGTGTAAACCACATTTTTTTGAATTTTTTAAATCATCAGTGAAACTGCAACAATAATGCCGATTGCATTACATAAGCCGACAATCCCATGTTTTTTTTTCCTCAGAAATAAAAGGTGCTCGCACTTCTGTTTTATCTGAAAAGCTTTCCTTATACTTGATTGGATTTTAATTGAATTAACCGCATGCAATTATTGCAATAGGGTGATTTCCTAAAGGAAGCAGGTCCTTGTTCAATGGTCTCTGGGGCAGTAAGCACTTCAACAAACGGTACATCAGCAGAGCTTCCTGTGGAAGTGTTCAGTCAGTCAAGTGGAGAAAGTAGTTTTGTTTGTTTGTTTTTAAATCTTTGAATGCATAAATTCCGTTGGCCATATACACATTGCCTTTTAGCCCTTACCACTCCATTTGCATGTCTTGCGACAACATTTTCTAGTATAGGAATTCTGGTGAACACAGTTGACTGGGTTTTTGTCTCCAGCTTTACACCTTTAGATTTCATGGAGAGCTGCATGTATATGCGGAAATGTTCAGAGAAATAATCATCAGTCATAAGCATGTAACCTTTTGGCAGGTAACCTGGTTTTGTTTGGCAACTGATTTCTGTATATGCAAATTTGTATGCTTAGCATCTCCATGAAACTAGCTCTGGACAAATAGACAGCAGCTGGCCCGTCGTCAAGGAGAGGGCCCTGGTGGGGCCGGGCCCCCCTTGGTGAGCAATTGCCCCCCCCCCCCCCCCCCCCCCCGGCAAAAGCCGTACATGTGTATTTTTGTATTTGTACGGTAGTGGGCCCACCTCGTTGGTACTTTGGGCCCCCCCCCCCCCTGATGCTCAGGGCTGGCGACGGGCCTTGCCAGCAGACATTAAGACCAGTATGTATGACAAGAAATCATATATGCCTCAAGTTACAGTAACTTTAACAACCCATCTTCCCTTCCAAGAAAAAAATCAAACCATTGTGTTAGTGTATGACTGTTTGTATATACATTTGTAAATGCAAATAGGACTTTACTGTAAAGTTGTTTCTGGGACAGGGTTTATGGTCAGAACAGATGTGCTTCTGCTAGTCTGGGGTTGGAAGCGTTGGATTGGTCGTGATAGGTATTTTTATTTGTCCAACTGACAGATATGAATAAGCAGATTTAACAGACAAAATGTGTGGATGTCACTTGTATAATGCAGCTTATTATGCAATAAATATCTTGCACGAGGTGCCGACTATTAGCATTGCCCTGTTTGTTTGTGTTGGATTTATTCAATTGTTATAGATACAAAAGTTAACAAAACTCAGTAAATTCCTCTTGAGATACCTGAGCATTTGTTTCTACTGCCATCTTCATTCACAATCTTGCCACGTATCATAGTTTCAATACACTTTATCTTGGTAATCATGTACTTTTCATGCATGGTTCATGTTATTAAGAACAGATCTTTCATTATTTAAAACCAAATTAAGACAAGAAAATTGTTCAGTGGATACGCTGCTGTAAATTTTAACATTGTTTAATAGAAATACTAGGTATAGTGGTCTAAGCTGAAAGAATACCAGTTATCACCCTTTCGTGTATAGGAATATCATCCTTTTTGTTAAAACATTTTGACTAATACAGTAAAATATATATTACAATGTCCCCCAAAACTTCTCATAAATCTAATTGGTTCAGTAACCAACATAACACAAAATATTGTTTGAAACCCCATCCAAATCCAACTCCTTGGCCAATGTCATGACTCTGCTAACAATTTCATTCTGCATTTATGACATCATTGAGTTCACAGTGCAAACATCTGTGCTTAAAATGGAGAACGTTTGTGTTGGCCTGTAAGCGCAAAATCTCTATTTACAGTATGTGAGCATGTGCATCGGCTAAACTTTGCTAGTAAATGAAATATGCTAATTGTTGGCATAGACCATAGTAAGCTGGAATTTTTCTTACAGTAAGCAGATTTCTGAAATTGGCCCCACTCTTGCTTGAATTTGACGTAGCACTTCAAAGCTCATCCATCATTACCGGTACTCAGGATTCAAGGCCCTATTTTATCAAGTACCATTCCTCCCTTTGTGTGTAAGTCAGTCTCAGTTTAAAAATAGCTAGAGTAAAACCTAATCATTTTTACACTTTGAAAGTTAATCACAAGTAAATCACAACTTCCATCGCAAGGAAAGTGGATGAACGAAGGCAAATCAATGCTGTGCTCATTCAATAGCTTGTGACTTGACTTGTGATGGACTTTCATTTGGAGGACTCGTAAGGACTGGTCAACACTTGGAATTGTGTTCTGCACACAGCAATGTCTAGTCAGTCCCTGATAGATTGATTTCAAGTTGCGTTCCCCCTGCTCTTCAACAAACTCAATTGTTTTCAAGTAATAAATTTTCAAAAAGTCTCAGTTTTTGCTTCCTTTTTGGACATCTGCAAACCTCTGGGAAAAAAGTTTTTGTTTTGGGCACAAACAGATATCCGCTTTGCGAGCAGACTGGTCCCGGTCCGTAAATTATAGATACTGATTGTGAGGCGGGAACCATGCTCCCCCGCGATAAAGGGAATTTTTGTCTTTCAGACAACAATTCGAAATTGTAAAGTAATAATTCAATATAAACGAACATGGGCTGATCTTTTTGGTTGATGTTCCATTCAAAAGTGAATTACTTTTGCATTTCTAAAAAAATGGCAGTTTAGAAAAGGAATCTTTTTTTCGGATTGAAACTCAAAAATGGTACGGGAAACATATCTTTCAATGATTCTGTGATCAGTCATGACTATTCCTTTCCTTTCTCCAAGTCATCTAATCTTTCTTGAATGCAAATCCTGCCAACTTAGAATTTGTTGATGATAGTAGTGGCCTCTTGACAATGCTACTGTCTTGACCTTTAACCTTGATTTGACCTTTAACCCTTTTCTCTGACCCCTGTGTTACTTCCCCATCATGAGGTAGTTTTCGTTTCTTCCCCTCCGTCAGTTCTGTTGTTTCTTGGGCAGCGTTTTCCTTTGGGTCTGTGTCGGCTTCCAAGGACTGAACAGACCGTTTGGCTTTAGCTCCCCAATCCTGTCAACCAAGCAAACACAGGAATACAGAAAGAATTAGGATAGTCCGTTCTTTATGGTTTGGTCAACGTGAGGCACTGTGTGATCCTGACAGCAATATTGAGGGGGGGGGGGGGGGGGTTGATTGCTTATGGTCGGTCTATGGGTTCAACTAGTGTATGGTATACTACTATTTGTGCACATTCCAATACAACTTTGTTGCACACACTGTGTGACATTAGTGTCAGGAATTACAGTGAATTCTTGAGACAATGCTACGTCTATTATCAGCATGTTCCTACATAGTTATAATTGTCAGAGATCTAGATAAACAATTCGGGTAGCCATACCTTCTTTTCCTCTGCTGGGAGTGACCGCCATTTCTGCGTTGCCAGCTTGATGAGATCAGACTCAGACAACTCGGGAGTTTCTTCAGCGAGACTGGCTTGATTCTCTGTCAGCCAATAGGAGAATGCCGATGGTGGTCTGGGGTGAGAAATGTATTAAGTAAAGATAAAATGTGGTGTCTAATCAAAGTAAAGACCAGCAACTCTTTGCTGTGATGTTGTCTATGGTGTTTTGTTTACCGAGGGGGGGGGGGGGAGGAGGGGGCAAATATCACCCACAGCATTTTAGGCATTTTGAATCCTGAAGTCCAGTGCATGTGTTATTTACAGAGCCCTATTCAATCAAACTATGGCCTACTCTATCGTGTCAACAGTCTTATTGGTCAAAATCTCAAGTACATAATTTGCACAGAAGCCACTTCCTATAGATGCCTACCACTGGCTGTGGTCAAGAAATTCCAACGTGTCTTACGAGTGGCTAACAGTTTTTTGATAGAAAAAAACCCACAAAACACCAGTTATCAATTTGAGTTGCTATTTTCTCGAGAGTTCCCAGCATTTTTTTTTCAAACAAAGTTCCCCAAGTTTTCCCTGATATTTTCCTGAGAAATTTCCAAAATTTCATGAGAAATATTCCCACTTTAACAAGGTTGCTTGGACGTCAAGAGGTGGTTGCAGCAAAGCAAATAAGATACTGATAATACACAAGCAACACGCGCTGGCCTCCCTTCTCCCTGTAGGCCTTATAGCAATCATTTCAGTCAGTCAATGGACACAACCTGCACATGGCACAAGATTCACAATACGCCAAACAGGTAAAAACCTGTCCCTTCTGGGTCACTGTCTAATTCCCCGAACTCTCCCTGATTTGAACTGTTTTTCCAAATTCCCTGAGTTTCCCCGACTTTAAAAATGGAAACTCATTTTCCAGGTTTGGCCTGATTTCCAGAGTAGCTGGTAACCCTGTATTGTCTGTCAGTCATGTCTAGTGTACCTGCTCACAGAATGCGTTTCCTATCTTTAAAACTTCTAGTCTCGGCATCTCAGAGATGAGCCTTTCTAAGTACTTTCTGTCTTCTTTCTGACTTACACCCTCAACACACAAACTGGACTCACTTGTTGACTGGCATGGTCTGTTCTGTTCCTTCCTTATTGCTCTCATCTTTCTCCTTCTGTCTTGGAGACTTCATGTTGCCAAACAGAGTGGACTGGGTCTTGCCTTTCTTCTGCTTTGGCTCTGAGGGTTTTTCAGGCGCTGCATGTAAAAATCATCAAATTTAAGGAATTTCAAGAAATTAGGGGTGAAAGCAGTACACTGTCCACTACATTTTTAAATCATGATGTTATGAGCTAACCATGTACCACATTTCGGAGTTGACCTGCGAATTTAAAAATTATATAAATTGGCCCAAAGATTTCTGCATCTGTGTGCATTATGGCATCATTTAGAAGTTTTCTCTTGTCATAAAAAATATCTGAAAACAAATCTGAATGATACACTGCTTAAAATTAATTTATTGTTAAAAAATGTGCACATTTGACAGGTAGTCAAAATACAAATTGTGAAAAATGATGCATAAAAGATATGGCAGATATGTTATGTAACACTCAGTTCAGTCTGCCGTTCCAAAGTCGCGCTGAACCAATAGTATTGGTTGACTTTTATGGATTTTTGTTTCAAACAAATTGTATGTACATTCATTTTCCATACCAGAGTCATTCTGAATAACTGCATGCAACAGTCCATTTTGCCACTCATCACTCCAGTTTGAGATGTCAAATGTTTCATGTAACTTATTCAAATTCGGTACAATTTGGTTCAGGGCGACTCTGCAATGCTGGTGTTAATGGCATTGCCCCAAATTTTGAAGAAATAAAACTGTCCAAATGAGTCCGAACTAATATGATCCTTGTCAATGAAATTCAACTTACGACTTTTGGCTTTGAGTTTGGTCAGTTTCTTCATACTATCAAAGACACTACTTCCTTTGCTAGCAACCTGAGATTCAGAACTACTTCTCTTGAAGGGATTCTTTCGGGTCTGGCTGCTGGGTAAAGCTGAAGTTATTACACCATCTGGGAGATAAAATGTCAAGATCATTGATTTTATTTCAGGGAATCACCATATTATCTCTCAAAGATTGCAGGTCCTGTTGGGTGAGTTGTGTACATTATGCTTGTTAAACAAGCAAAGTCATGTTGCTGTTTGAGAGCTTAAAGCTTAGCTCATATACTTCAAGTGGAAGCAAAGTAAACTTCATGACTTCCAAACTCATAGTTTCATCATGACATTCATCATTACATTAACAATTTGCTTTAATCTAAAATTGGGAAAATGAATGGACTAGCTTTAAAGCTACAGTCCATCATTTGTAATTTGTGCATTTTGTTCGTTTAAAGCAACAAAAGAGTTCAAAATCTAATGAAGGATACTGAGCAACTAACCTGATGAAGTTTCAGCTAAGCTTCAGCTGTACATTCCGAGAAAAACAGCATTCTAAGATCTCAATTTCAAATCAAAAGTTACTGAATCATGTTTGGAATTGTTTTGAATTGCAGCTATACGCGACGTCGCGCACTGATCCGACGAATTATAACAACCGCGCGCGCGTGTGCGTCGTTCCAATACTTGTGCGCGCTGCGCTGAATAACAAAACGAACTACTAATTTAAATTTTCCTACGGTGCTTCTTAAGAATCACCGTTGGAAATGCCTTCTTTCGTTGATTACTTCAAAATTACAGCTTCCCAGAAAGAATAATTTCACAGGGAGTTTAGTTCCCTTACTAACTTTCAACCAAGTTTGTTTTTCAACAATAATTACGCCAGTTACTTTTCGGATGGCTGCAAATGATGGACTCTAGCTTTAAGTCTCACTTCAAACTGTAGGCTAAATGCCAGTGTTTGCTAAACATTACTTATGTTTATCACAAGTGTGCTTCACCACAATAGCTTAAAGGGCAACAATTATGAACACTTGTCTTAAAATACAGATCAAATGTTTAATTTGCATTTTGAATGATACAGGGACCTGTTTAAATGACTGATTTAATAGAAACTGCTCTGCAATCAACAGTGTCAGCTAACCGCTCTGTGTGGATTCAGGCCGGTATCAAATCATGTACCTTTCTTAGGTTTGATGAGGATCGTCGGCACTTTCCTTGATTTCATCTCTGGCATTCCATCATCATCATCATCACATTCATCATCTTCCATCGCTACCTCTTCTTCTTGTGCCTCCTCATTGTCATCCTCATCATCTTGTCTTGAGGCCTGGTGGGTGGGAGCCTTGGATCGAGACAGTGTAGACCATTCCGTTGAGCTGCTACTCCTCCTGAAGAAAGTGGGTTGTAAGGACTCATGTTGTGATGCAGTCTTACTTTAGAACTTATGATCACTATGGCTTGCCCAATCAATATTAACAGTGATTGAAACATTCCAGGTCAAGGGCATTTTGGTGACTTTTTGGTTTTTATGCTATAAATTTCCATATTCATGAGCAAAAGTGTGATGTCATTTCAGGCAGAAACTACAATGTCACAGCTAGTTCAGCACCACAATTTGCCAGAATTTTGGATATTTTGCTGTTGTTAATTTTCTTTTCTTTGGTGATTCGTTGTTTCAGTACATGACAGTAAGCCAAAAAGCAAAGTTTTCTCACAATTGTTTTCAATAAGTAAATTTTGGGTTGGCAATTTGAACAGAAAACCCCTAAAGTGAAAAGTGTCTTCCTGAAATGACATCACAGCAACAGCGCCCTCATTTGTCAGGAAAAGCATGGAAAAATGCTTAATGTTTAAAACATATGGTTTTCCTACATTTAAGAGTAGAAAGGTGCACAAAATATGTCCCCAAGTAAGATTCATGTCTTGGGCCCTCTAATTTCTTCATTCTCTGATATGTCATGATTTCTATTCAACAAAGTTTCTACTGCTTTGAGTTCTGCACAAAATGAACTAAATCTTATTGCATTTTCACTGAAGAAAAGTAAAGAAATTAAAAGTAACTATGCTGAAAAGGACAACGTTTGAACTAGACTGCAACCAAACACACAAACTTCTGGCTGGACATCCTGAGCCATAAAGTTAAACATCCAAAAGTGATAACAGAGATCAACTTGGTCTTACTTTGTAGTGGTGGCATTCGAATAATACCCATCATGCTCCTCTTCTTCCTGCTCTGTTTCCATGGCAGCCATTTCTTCTTCCATCATTTGCTGCGCTAGCTGATTAAGTCGTTCAGCTAATGCCATTCTACGTGACCTACTGGCATATTTGATTGCCAAGGTAACCGCATGCTGTGATGTCATGAGTTGACAGATCTCAGAGGCTCGGTATTCTCTGTCAGTACGACATGCCAACTGATGGGAGCAATGAATTAGTACAAAAAGTAAGCAGAGAATCACCAGCTTCAGTTAAAAATATATTCAACATTGGAATTGTTGACCATCTTGTTCTATCCTATCTTAAAGCAGTAACTTTATGCAATGAAAAGAATGAAACTTTTCAATTTTGCATGAAATGGCCAACACTGTCAATGGCACATCAATAGACAGGTATTTGTTTGACAAGCAAAGTATTACAAATTGGTTGTCCTTTGTTCTTTGTACAATTTCCAGGGCAGAATTTAATGCCATTTTGAGGTATTCACTCATGCTACTTGGGTCATTCCATAAATTTGGGGTCCACTTTTTCCCTGCCCCTGTTACATCTGACATGTACGATGTTTGAAATTCTGGATGCACTCCTTAATACATTTCCCCTCTAAGAGTGATTATGTAAGGCAAACTACATACCAAACAAATGAGAATAGTGTGCACTCATTTTGAAGGATTCTTGAGCAGCAAATTACAAAGTTCAAAGGTAACAGGGACAGGAAATATGTCACACTTTGGGCCCCTAAGTTACAGAATGACTCACTTAGAATGAGAAAAGGGGTTAAGAGTGTAATTTTCTGGAGCTTATATCTTAGACATTACTTAGGCTTGAAGGCTCAAATATGACGCAAGTTCCACAGATAGAATAAACAAACATATTTTTGAATGTCATCATAGTTTGATCCTTATGCTTGGACTCTCACGTATCAATTTGATTCTAAGACCATTAAGAACTATCAGAACCAGGCTACATTGAAATTATCTGGCCATGGCTTGCAATTTCCAATGAGCCTCTTCCTACAGACCCATGTGTTACTGCTGGGCATAGCCGAGTAATTCGGATGTAGCCTAATGCCATAGCTAGGGCTCAATTCAATGGGAGACTTCTGAGACATTTGTGGAAGCAAACACACCTGTCCTTTTTGCATTGTTTGCATCATATTGAGCATGAGCGTTTAAACACGACGTAATCAATTGAAAAGGACCGGTATGTTTGCTGCCACCATCGTCTCAAAAGTCTCCCATTGTGTATTGTATTTAACCCTTACCCTAATTGTTGGGATTTTCTTAGTTTTGTTTCACATGAGTATCAAGTCCATTGTTTTCTTTATTGTCAATAGCAATCCTGCTTACCGCAAACAGTTTCATGATGTTCTCCTGTTTCTCTCTGTCGGTCTGTGCCTGACTCATCTCATCAATCTCATAGCCTTGTGATGCACCGTACTCGATGTGTTTACTCAAGGCATCGGCTCTCCAGTATGCTTCCTGAAAAGCAAGTCATTCAAATAATTATCACATATTCTTCAAGCACTTTAGAGTATGTAATACCCCTGATTGTCAGGCATATAATCTTTCTTGACTTCTTGGCAGTTTACAAAGGCAGGCAAGCGGAATTGGACTGGTGCATGAACTCAAGAGGGCAGTATACAACTAACTCAGAACAGAAATAGGAGGGCTCTTTATGTTAATGGCATGAACAAACCAATGGATCGATCCATTCAGCCCCGCCCCATGTTTTGCCCCATCACAGAGGTGATACATGTCTGATATGCGTGCACATGTATATGACATGTGCAGCTGGAACATGCAATGAGACACTGGAGAGGCTGTTCACATGTTGCTGCTCACGTGTGCAGTGGGTGGGGCTTACTGGATACGTCTATTTGCATCACGGTCAAACCCTGCTCCCATCAGTTGCAAATGCAGAAGATCAACTAAAAATCTAACAATCAAAACTTGATGAACAGGAGGAAGTTCAAAAGTTTTTTTCTCTAACTTCCCAACGGAGGCTAGAGTGTGTCCTTCAAATGTCAATAATATTCCCTGACCCTTAATCTTCCGAAATCCTCCAGGAGTTTTGCAGAACTGCAGAAGGTAGAGCCCATCCAATGCAACAGTACATGCAGTTTGATTCTCTTCAGGAATTCATTTATTTGCAACAATTTTCCGTTTTCCACCTACGTTTCCAACCGTTCATTATGCCTTTTTCTTTTCATTTCCATTTTTCGTTATGACGCCTCTATGTAAAACGGTCCTGTCATGTAAATCTCTACTGACCTCCATAATACCCTTCTCTGTATCCAGATCACATAGAGGTACTTGGAATGGTAGGACCATGATGGAAGGTCTAGGCAGAGTTGGTGGGAAGGCTGCTCCCTTACACTGGATGCATCGTAGCTGCTGTGGGCTCTCATTCAAACCAACCACCCAGAAATGGTCTGATCGACTCTTGCTCTGCAAACAGAACAAAATCATTTATTTATTACATGGAAATTGTGTTTTAGTATACATACTCCATAAAAAACCTGGACAGCTAACAGAAGTGGCCTGATCTAAATTGGAGTAAAATGGTTGGGAAAAAATTGCTAAAATTTTGTCAACTTTTCATTGCTTTTGATCGAAAAGGTATTTATGAATGGGGGATAATTGTGTGATTGAGCAGTTGTAAACATGATGCTTAAAACCAGGTAGAGGCCAATAATCTACAATTTGAAAACTCTCCACTCCTCAAACAATGAACAAGCAGTCAGACAATTCATACATGATCACTTACATGATTTTTAGTATTAGAAATCTGTATCCATGACAACAGAGATCGATTTAGAAGTCTAACTACTCCCTCTGAGTCCACCGTGCATGGTGTCCCTTCAGCTGAGAAACTGTTGTTAAGAAAAAAAAGGAGAAATAAAAGTTTACCAAGATTGACAGATGTATTAAGTTCTGGTCATTTTTTTGTACAATCTTCCCTTAAAATAATGCACCAATTACACCAAGTCTTATGAAGCATCTAGGGTCTAACATATATTATATATACTTTCCAAGTTTAAAACCTCCACAGTTCATTGCAATTTAGGGCAGGCTGTCTTATTCAACCAGCTCCTATAATACTTCAATTAATTTATTATTTCCAGAAGCCTACTACTCACCCCAGCCAGGCTAGCGTAGCCTTTGGACTCACTGGTAACCTATCACCTGAAACGACACAGCGTTTCCTCTTCCCACCAATGTGTAGTAATTGCACTCCTAGACACTGCTCGCCTGGTACACCTGAACAGGGAACCAGTCATATTATCGCATGATAACTGATGCAATACTGAAAATGCATTGGACTATTGATTGTGCACAAGTACATCCACAATGGTGAAATAGACAGATACGACAGATGCTTAAATACCATAGCAACTGTACTATGTGTGGCTGGCAACCACATGTAGAAGCTGAATATTAAACTGAAAATAAGTTCTGTATAATCGGGGAAATTTTTGTTTGGGAAAATTAGGTTTAACTTGAAGCGACTTCTAAATGTCCCTTCAAGGTTTTCTGCAAGTGTCTTCTGTACTCTGGAGCTCTTGTGTGTGGTCATGACAGAGTGTGCAATCTACTGTTACTGCTTTGTCTTCCTCCAATCCATTGCGTGACAACTTCTAAAATAAAAGTGGCTTTTCCATCCAGCACAATGGTGCAAGCTATTTAAGGTTTCAACAACTATCTGAAACCACTTGAGGTTTTTCCAACTCTTGCACAGAACAACGTGGATGTATTACCAGTTCCAGCATGGTACACAATGATGAGTTGGTTGCCGTGACCAGCTAAGCAGACTACCGGGCCAGGAATGGCAAGTATCTCTCTCTGCATACCACCGATGCTAAACAGACGAACTAAACGTTTGTCAGTTGCTACAGCTAGCCATCCACGACCAAGGGTTAGGCACTGAATAATTAAAGAAATAGAAAGAGCAAAAAATAATGTTTGCTTATAGACCTGAATGAATCAGGGCACTGTAATGAGGGGTTATAAACAGGCCTGAATGTTATTGACGCAAACGTTATTGACCTAAGTTCACTCATTGCTTCATTTAAAAAAACACTTGTACAATCTTTAATTTCATGAATGAAATAAAGTTACTTAATTACTTCAATAAATGGAATTTGTCTTGTGTTGGTACCCAGAAAATGGCATCAGAATAAGGCCAACTGAAGTCAGCAACAAATGTAAATTTGCAGTGACACCGTGTGAAAGAAAATACCTGTTTGTGAGTTTCTGTGGTTCTGACAAGAACCAATAGGAACTAAGCATTTTGGAGAGTAAGCTTTGCCCGTCATCTGGAGACTATCAGGGAGTGTGTCAAGGGCTAGACGTGATTAGCAAGTGTGCTATTTTCTAGCGCTTTTTACCCATTGTAGATTTGTTGTCAATTTTCTATGAATTGTTTGTGTGAATCCTATTTTGTTGCATCCCTTGGGTAATAAACCAAACCAAACCAAACTAGAAGTGAGGTTTATGACGGAGGATTGGAAGTGGTGAAGCATGTAGGTGTATATTGATCTTGAAGAATGAGGACAATTGCTGTGTGTAACTGCAACTTAGACACTTTGCTTCAAAACAGGTACAACAAAATCAAAGTAAAGAGATATTCCCCTTGTACTGAAGTGGCATCTGATGTCAAAAATCGATGTGAACAAGTGATGGAGTCGACAGATTAGTTCTAGATCAGATGTAACTGGTTTACCTTGATATTTTCTCCCTTTGGCAATGATGTCGTCCATTCCTTCTGATTGTCCCAGGAGGCGAAGTGATAACAAACTAATTGGCTGGTAAACAAAAATAAACAAGTCACTTTTAATACATCCTTGAAAATCATGAATTATTCTAAGACAGCGAGGCCAGTGGGTTTTTGCTCCAGGGCACCATACACACTCACCTCGCAATAACACCATACACACATATGAAAACAGTGAACCTGCAATACATATTTACATTCATGTAAAGCACTAGCATGGTGATCATGATGGAGCAGCCCATGCACAGTGATCCCACACTCACACCAGCTGTACACTTGGATTTTAAGCTATCATTCACCACACAATGTGATATGACTCAAATGAAAAGTGCCTTTGCGGTACATAGTGCTGTGGCCTCGTGGTTAAGGGCACTGGATTCGTGGTCTGCGGGTAAAGCTGCAGGTTGTGGGTTCGAGTCCAGCTTGGAGTCATGGTGCGTGTGCCCTTGGGCAAGGCACTTTGTCACTCATTGCTTCTCTCCACCCAGGAGTAAATGGGTACCTGTGAGGGCAGAGATGGTTATTGTGATTGAATTAGCTTCCTTGGGCCTAACAGGCTGCATGGAGCTGTATACTCCCCAGGGAGCTGAGATGGTATTTGGAATGTTTCATGGGCCCAATGAGCAGGGGTAATAATGATGGAGCGCCTTGAGCACCAGTCCTGGTGGATACGTGCACTTTATAAATACCCACTATTATTATTATTATTATAGACAACATGATTTCTACAAACTCTAAATGCAGTGGGTAAATTTCCAATATAAGTCAGTCTCAAGTTAAATAGCCAACTTCATTAAGTACTGGTAAATTTCACAGCTGATGCTAAATTCCCAAGCAAATGCTTTTTGTTTCAAAACATGACCCCTTAGATCATCTTACCTGGGTACATCTCCGTTGGTCTCACTTCCTAACAGTACAGCTTCAGCTGAGAGATCCGCCATTGTGCGATTCAGCTGGTTGTCAAAATGCATAGCATGATGAACGGACGTGTCATGAAATTCAACATCAATAGAAGATTCATCTTCAGTGTCATAGCAACGGATGATTCCAATGGAATTCCACTTCTATAAATTAAAACAGAAAAAAAAATCTGCAAAATGTATTTGAACTTATGATCGCTACTTGTTTTGCCGAGTTCAATGCTTTTAGATACTGACCATTCCAGCAAACAAAAACACCAAACCATTACTGATTATAAACTTCACTCACGCTCAGTTTAAATGTGCACACTCACTTCACTTTCAACCAGTACATTAGGTCAGCTGTGTATGAAATGGCTATGTCAATGGCTATGTCAATGGCTATGTCTATAATGGTCAGCATGTTTCCATGTAGCTGTAACTGGTGGAGACCTAGACAATAGCTAGACAAGTGACTTAACAAAATGTGTGTGCACATCAGATTTAGGAGCTGCAAGTGTGGTATTACCCCAGGATAGTCTTCTAATTCTGGTTGCCAGATAAGTTTACAGGACTATTTGGGGTTTTTTTTATTTCAAGAAGTAGAGTACTCAAAATCTATTAGGTTTTATCTGATTATTACACTTTTGGAGAAAAAGTGACAGCCCACGCTTAATTCAACTCTACTTTCATCATTTGTGAGGATGAGACTGAACTCGGAGCAGGTTGTAGTGAAGAAAATTGAAGAAAAAAGGGAAAAAAACGCAAATTTATTGATATTTGTAACCTATGAGATGTCTGCTACACAAATTTTAAGAAATAGTATAAAAATTGAGGAATAAAAGTGTTTTTAAGGAAAATTATCAGGCATCTTTCATTTTCACGACTACAATAACTAGAAACTTTAAAAAACCCTTTTCTCAGTAGTTTACTTTTTTGACATGTTAGTAAATGCTTACTTTAAGCAGCCACAACTTATCAATGAAACGTCAGATTGAAGTGCAACAAACAGTATTGTAAGGAGATTTTGATTCTCTTTCCTAATACCTGCAAACCTCATCTCAATCTCTGCCCAGTTCTGTCTCACTTTGCCAGAATGCCTCATATTTGACAATCGACATTTATTCGACAAGACAGTACTATTTTCACATTCTCATACATTTAAAACTACAGCAGTGTTCTGGATTTAATTTGGAGCTAATATGCCTTGTTATTTGAGCTATTATTCAAAAATGTCCATTCTTTGATCATAAAAACATGCCAAATTGAGTAATTTCTTGAGTAACATCTTGAGACTAGTTATCACTCCAAGCAATGTGTTTTCAGGTAATTGCAAATAACATGTGTGCTTATAGTAGCAAGTGAAAATGATAAGACAGCCAAAAGCTATAAGCACTTACCATGAATCTACTGGCTAGGTGTACTGGGGTAGCAGCAGGAATAAATGGTTTCTGTAGGGGTGTGGGTTTAGGCCCTTCAGCAATAAGCACTTACCATGAATCTACTGGCTAGGTGTACTGGGGTAGCAGCAGGAATAAATGGTTTCTGTAGGGGTGTGGGTTTAGGCCCTTCAGCAATAAGCACTTACCATGAATCTACTGGCTAGGTGTACTGGGGTAGCAGCAGGAATAAATGGTTTCTGTAGGGGTGTGGGTTTAGGCCCTTCAGCAATAAGCACTTACCATGAATCTACTGGCTAGGTGGCCTGGGGTAGCAGCAGGAATAAATGGTTTCTGTAGGGGTGTGGGTTTAGGCCCTTCAGCAATAAGCACTTACCATGAATCTACTGGCTAGGTGTACTGGGGTAGCAGCTGGAATATATGGTTTCTGTAGGGGTGAGGGTTTAGGCCCTTCAGCAATAAGCACTTACCATGAATCTACTGGCTAGGTGTACTGGGGTAGCAGCAGGAATAAATGGTTTCTGTAGGGGTGTGGGTTTAGGCCCTTCAGCAATAAGCACTTACCATGAATCTACTGGCTAGGTGTACTGGGGTAGCAGCAGGAATAAATGGTTTCTGTAGGGGTGTGGGTTTAGGCCCTTCAGCAATAAGCACTTACCATGAATCTACTGGCTAGGTGTACTGGGGTAGCAGCAGGAATAAATGGTTTCTGTAGGGGTGTGGGTTTAGGCCCTTCATAAGTAGTTGGCTGTGGTACCATGGTATCCATGGTACCTGACATGACACTAGCACCATCATCACCAGCACGAGAACTGCCATCTAGTAAGGAAACACACAAATTCAGCAATACAAGGACATCAATATTAGGTTTTGCCCTTCACCAACGTATAAACACTGTATACTCAGTGTGTTACCTTCCGAGTGAAAGTTGGAAAAATCACTCGGGTGGGACTCGAACCAACGACCTCCTGCTTTCTAGTGCAGACGTCTTACAACTTGCCCACCGAGCTTACGGGATCGGTTGGCTGGTTCGAATCTGATGTACATAGCAGCGGGTACTGCATTTAACTATTCATGAAATGGAATTTTTGCGTCGGGGTGATGTAAATCAATATTAGGTTTTGCCCTTCACCGACGTATAAACACTGTATACTCAGTGTGTTACCTCCCGAGTGAAAGTTGGAAAAAATCACTCGGGTGGGACTCGAACCCACGACCTCCTGCTTTCTAGTGCAGACGTCTTACCACTCGACCACTGAGCTTACGGCATCAGTTGGCTGGTTCTTATGAATAGTTAAATGCAGTACCCGCTGCTATGTACATCAGATTCGAACCAGCCAGCCAATCCCGTAAGCTCGGTGGTCTTAACTTTTGTGTTTGAGCGGAGAAAGTTTATCCTCCAATTTGAAGTATTTCATGCTTCATGTTAGTAATTGTGGAGATTGAGTTGCTGTGCAAGACACCCAAACCACTGCTAGGAAGTGATGTACAAATACAATATTACAAATGACTCAACACAAACAGTGTGCATTTTCTAACCCATTGAATTGTCGTCATCTTGTATCTGCATGATACGTTTATGTTGCGTCGCTGGCATGACATCATCACCATCCTCTCCCTCATTGGTTGGTTTACCCGCAGCGTTCTCAACTTCTGCTTGAGTGACAGCATCAAGAAAATCTTCATCTACTGCATCGTCGTCAAACAAATCAGCAGACTGCTTGAAGACTTGAACCTGGTTGGAAAAAAAACCAAGAATATGAGCCTGAGTGATTTGTTTCTAACTTTCACCGGTAACACACTGAGTATACAGTGATTCAACGTCGGAGAAGGGCAATATCTAATACAGTGTATTGATTTACATCACACCGACGCAAATTCCATCTTATGAATAGTTTCACTGCAGTACCCGCTGCTACATCAGATTCGAACCAGCCAACTGATCTGCAAGCTCGTTGGTTGTAAGACGTCTGCACTAGAAAGCAGGAGGTTGTTGGTTCAAGTCCCACCCGTGTGAATTTTTCAATTTTTCACTCGGGAGGTAACACACTGAGTATACAGTGTTTTAACGTTGGAGAAGGGCAAAACCCAATATTGATTTACATCACCCCGATGCAAATTCCATCTTATGAATAAGAATACGAGCATCAAAGTACTCACATGAAGTTAGAATTCCAAATCAGTGTATGAGATTGGACTTTTGGACCTTACTGCACCGCCCACAAGGTACATCTTTCAAATCAGACATTCAGATAAATTGTGATACAGAAGATTACAGGTTTATATAATTACTAATATTACAGGCATGCAACTGGGAATTTAGAAAAAATACGAGGAAATTCCAAACCACACATGACTTTGTACAGTGTTTTTCAATTTGTAATGGCATTCACGATAGGTAAAAAACGAGGAAATCAGCAGATCCAAGGAAAAGTTGCATGCCTATAATAAGTGTTTCAATTTAATGGCCATCAAAAATGTTTAAGAATAGAGGAATCTGTTTTCTGCCAGACTAAGAACTTGTCAACATTGACGCATCTCCAGGTTTCAACATCTTGCTTGCATTGTTTTGTCCTTTTTGGCCTGAATTGATTTAATCCACTGACACATGATCATGACTGTTTTGGTGAGGTTACCGGTGAGGCATTTTTCCTGTCCACGTTTACATGATCTAGCACACCCACTTGTCCAAAGACAGCAGTACAAGCAATTTCATTATGAGTTTTGGTTAGGATACCTGTGTTGTAGTTTTTCTGTCTGGGGGTATCACATTATCTAGCACACCCACTTGTCCCATGACGTCAGTATACGCAATTTCGTTCCCGTTGGCAGGATGCCAAGCCATGCCGCATATGGCTAGACCTTTGTTGTGCTTGGTTCTGAAAGAGAGAAATAAAAATATCCGGAGTTCTTTAAAAAGATAAAACTCTTCACAGCCTTGTTTTCAGGTGTCTTAGAAGAAAAACACACTTCTTTCACCAAAGCTGACACTCAAATACTATCTGCCATCACTTAAACAAATGTTAAGTAATCAATTACGGCTTAAGAACACAAGCACACATCTCTGCCTGCTAGTACTAACAAAAAATATACCTATTCTTATCTCCTACTCATGAAAAAATGCCATATACTCAATTTTATATCAATCACTTATGAACTGACTTGTGATTTGACTTGTGATTGGCTACTTAGTACTTCTTGTGGGTATGCATGTGAATATTTAGTTTATTGGAAAATGGCAATTTCGCCTTGTGGTTTTCACGTCCAAGGTTTGAGACACACCACCAAATAGCCAATTTTAACGCTGTGAAACAAATACGGGTCAAGACTTCAGCCTACACCTACCTATCTATGCACTCTCTTGTATTGACGTCCCATATACAGATATGTCCATCAGTGTTAGCTGAAGCCATGAAGTGCCCACAAGGTGACCACGCAGTGACTGAGATGAAACCAGTAACGTCTTGAGGTGTCAGTGTGAAGGCCAAGTCCCAGGAATCTCGCTCATAGATGTGGATTTCTTTCTCTACAGGAACGGCCAGGAACTGACATAAAAAAGACACGGCAAGCCTAGTAAAGCTGGTCCCAGAGTGCACACAATTCTATTCAATTGATTGAGAATGTCTATTCACTGAGAGTTGTTCCATGCATTTGGCCTACACAAAGGGCCAGATTTAGCCCATTCATTGTGTTATAGGGTAGTAATATTTCTAATGTTTAGGCCAAGGTGAGACTGAAGTGAGGTACATAGAGGCCTATAGGCTTGCCCTTCTGGGACCAAACAAACATTGGTGTAAACACCCTGTGTTGGAATGTTAAATGTACTGAGTTCTTACTACGAGACTCCAATCCTGTCAACTCCCCAAACAACCAAAACACAACCATCAACACTCTCAATTTACTAATCTTCAACAGCATGCAAAAACTTGGCCATATGATGTATTTTCTAAGCTGTCATCTGTCTGCTCTCCTTTGTCTCTCGGATGCATCTATGACGTTCCAAATAGATCCAACTTAACAGTGAAACTCACCTTTCCAACCTGTGGTTTCCATGACAACCTACACAGTGTTTTTGATAGGCTGGAAAGAGACAAGGTACAAGATTGATGTTACTTTATATTGCCTCCAAAGTATAGATATTTAGCCATTCATTCTTGTGATATGAAAAACAAGTTCTTGCACTCTTTAATGAAAGCTTACTTAAAAACAAGATTTTGGTAAACGGTGTTCTCCTCAGAAAAGGTGTCACATTTCCCGGGTAAATACTTCATCTATGACGACAACAACTGCACAATACCATCTTTTGTATCCTGAAGTATTCATCTTTTTAACAATTTTGGAACAAGTACATCTTACACCTGGAACATTCGCGATTTACATGCCAACGGGTATTAATGCCCGTTATCACGCGTCTAACCAATTAAAGCAAGTCCACTCATACCATACCTGACATCACTGCATTTAGGAATGAGTGAGACTGATTTCTCCCAGGACTGGTCTGCAATGCTCCAAATCTTGAGCGTTCCATCACAACTTGAAGATGCCTGGACAGAACAAAATTTAAAAAAAACCCAGATTTTGATGCAATGCAACATTTCTGCAACATAACAGTCTCTGTTTTACAAACGGATGATTTTTTTTCAGATTTAGGGATGATGCTACTACAAAGAACAGTTCAGTGGAAAGTATTTGAGAAGGAACCAATCAACCATTATGCAATTGTTGCAATACTGGAAACACTTTGAAATAAACATGGCTGAATCCTAGACATCTCCAAAATAAAAGATAAAACCAAAAAACTTGCATATGAGACAGTGATGAATGTGCTACAAGAAACCAGTTCAAAAGTGAGCAGGATTTGGTCCTATGTTCATTTTTTCCTACCATTATGATAAGGCTATTAAATGAGCAAGTCACATTAAAGCACACTGAAAGTGTCATATTTATTTGTAATATTTTCCAAGCACAACTTGGACGAGTCCACGTCTATCCAAGTATTGAACAACAGGTCCATAATATCTCAAAGGACTAACTCGGCTCTTTTTCTATATTTTACACTACACAGTTAAAACCATGTCAGTTTGAACTATGTATTAAAAAAAAATCTTAAGGGCAATTCCATGGTTACTAACGTTACATTTTTGATGTACTTTTGTGTTTCCTTGGGCTGTAATTACCTTACTGACAAGGTTTAATAACTGTTATCCCCATGGTAGATAGAGTAGACCTAGACCTACCTAAGCACCAAAGATGACATCCAGAAAAATGTGTTACGTATGATAAACAAGACACACAAAATTGGTTACTCACGTTACGAAATGTAACGTGAGTAACCGTGGAATTGCCCTTAAATACAAATATTACATACAATGTACTCATGTTTGGGATCGATGGCCACACTGAGAACTGGTGCATTGTGACCATGAAAGGACTTCTGATTACTGCCTTCAATGTCAACATACTTCAAGGTGAAATCACTGCAACAAAATGGAGAAAAACAAGGTTGTAATAGCTGTTGATTCTCTACGAAACCCTAAACAAAACTTAGGAGTAATATTCTGCTATTTTAAGGGTAACTTTTAGTATTTTCATGCAAAATTGCAAATAAGTCAACAGACCTGCAGGCCAGGACATCAGATCGTCGGTTGCACCACGAAGTGACGTATTGTGTGCACAAAGGCCATAGAGGATACGTCACTTCGTGGTGCACTGAAATTGAGATAGGGTGTACAACCCGTTAATCAATTTATAATATTATATCCATACTTTTAGGTGTAAATCAAAACATTCCATTGGAATAGACAATTCCCTCTACAAGACCTGCCCAACACACACAAAAAATGTTTTTTTTCCTGAGTTTACCTGGCACCTGCGAGTAATTTCTCTCCATCCTCACTCAGACAGAAGTGAGTAACAGGAGCAGTGAATCGGGTCACAATCCCATCCGCGCTTCCCTCTGGAAATGTATGAGCCTGGATTGTGTTGGCTTCTGAGGCAGTGTACAGTCTGTTGTTCTGTAGACAAAATCAACAACAAAACAAAACAAAACAAACCAAAAATCTAAATGTTAGACTTTTATAAGATGGAATTTGCTTGCCAGGATCAGCGGGCTGGCAAGCTTGGTAGTGGAGTGGTAAGTCATCTGCACTATTAAGTAGGAGGTCATGGGTTCAAGTCCCACCCAAGTAAGCTTGTGAATTATTTTTCGCAAACCCTCAGACAACACTAAGTATACAGTGTTACATCAGCAAAGGTCAAAACCCAACATAAAATTTAAATGTAAATTTGTAAGACATCAAACAGCACAAGCCACAAATGGATTGTATCCTGAATTTGGTTCTCAATGCCTCTTGAAGCATTGGCACAAATTTGTTGATATTACCCCAGACTCACATGCTGCGATGATTCTTCACCAAACTAGAAACAAAGCCAATGTGATTTTGACTCAATATGTAAAGACAAAGAACTGAATTATGATTGGAATGAAAGGGTTTTCCAAATGTCACTGTCTCTTTGTGATTGTAGCTCCCTAGGTACTCCTGCTCAAAGATTTGGGTATTTTCATTTGGTTGAGAAATCTATGACTTCTTAATTACTCTAAAGCCATAGACCAAGCTCAAGTGGGAGCAGAAGTTCAAAAATCTCTTAAGAATGTCCTCCATCTCTTTGTATGTAGATACCTTCATTGCAATAGCATAAGCAGCATCACCGACGTTAATAGATTCAGGATCGTCATCATCCATACTCTTCCATATTCGGACGTCACCATCACTCCCACATGTCAAGATATGATTCCCCGTCTCTTCATAACAGACATCTGTTTGTCCCTCACTATGACCCATCCGCATCTCTTGTTTGTTCAGCGGCATCTTGACAAAAGGCTGGAGGAAAAACTAGCCTAAAAAAGAGAAGCAATTACAAAGTGAAAGTTTTCCTTTCTTGTCTGACAAGGACAGAAAAATGTAACACTGTGGAGAACAAATTGTAGGGGACAAAATCTGTTTGTTGTACCTTTATTGGTCGAGAATGCATACATGCATTGTTTACAATGGTTTACCTCGTATACAATGCGCATTGCACGCCCAATCTAGAGCCTCCACGTGGGCTCGTGACTGAGAACTGCATGCAACGCGCAACGGCTCAGTCTCATGTATCAGCAGGAAAGCCTGTAGTTATCAAGGGTTACCACACTAATTTCTTGGATGATAGTAGGCACGAGTTCCATTTATCGTTTTGATTTACATGTATTGGCACGACATAACAAAACAATTTTTGACTGCTGTGATGTGGGATTAGTCCGAAAATTTGGGACTCTCAATACTGTGTATGAGAGTCCCAAAACTTAAGGTATCCATATCGTGCAAAACTTTGTGCTGCATGATAAAACCAGTGTGAATCAAATTTGCAAGCTTCTTACTCACTACAGTTTCTTCAATAATCCCTGAAACTTCTGCCTAGCAAAGTTGCTGTTGTGAGCATTGCATCACCAAAATTTCAGCTTTTAATTCTAATTTTGCAGAGAGTTATCAAAATCCATACGTGAGACATCACATTGATGTGTACTGCAATGCATTGTGCAAAAAGACTCCTCAGCTATAACATTTTCATCTTGTAGATAAAACAGCGCCCTCTTGTTGATCTGAGTGAATGCAAAATGTTTATTTTTTAGCAGAGGGCGCTATGTTCATTTGGCCATTGATTAAAAATTAAGTAAGCTGCATGGCTCTTCCTACACCTACCCAGAATACATTGGGAATCACACACCCATTTCCAGAGCATGGAGATTGACGTGGGTGGTTTTTGAACTGCCAAAACCTTGCCTTAAAATTGGATTTAAGGTCTCAAATTTTGCAGGTGACATGCTTGCAACTATAGCATTTTGATGTATGTGTTGTGTGGGCATTAATTAGCCAAATGGTGAGTAAAAAAACGTCAGTAGTAATTTTGCACGTTTTTATGCACTCACAGTCCCAGTCTGATGTGGGATATGCCGTTTATATACCCCCTGGGGGGGGGGGGGAGGGCAAAGCACCCTCGGTTCATCTGTGCGTGCTGTGTGCTATGCACCCGTCGGGTGTTAAAAAATTACACATCCCACATCACAGCAGTCAACCATTATTAATCTCTGGTGAACGTATACTGTACTGTACAGTATACGTTCACCAGAGATTACATGTAGCTGTGTACAAAGTTTATACTAGGATTGTAAGGCCCCCAAAAAAGGGAAAGACATAGGCCTACACGTATGTCACTTTTCATCAATCGATATTCAAACGCCAAAAGTTACTTTCTATGACTATGGTTCTTTCATCTATTTTCCCTTCTCGACTCTCACTCTCTACCCATCTCCAATCCTCTTTTCTTTATTTACCAATTACCTACTTCACTGGGATTTGAACCCGCAATCTTGATATTTAACCACACCAGCCTTATCCGCTACACTAGTCAAATGATCGTTCCCAGTATCAGTAAGGGGCTAGCTGAAAAGGAATGCCATGTAAATCCGAAGCAGAACTAGACTAGGCCTAGTAGTATCCAAATCTAGTATAAGTAGTAAAGTAGTATCCAGAGGGCACTTAGTATTACATAATTAGTTATGCACAAGGCGTAGTTAGGCTGAATATTTTGTAACAATACTCGTTACAAAACAACTAGGGCCTATTTCTCAATCCCTAAAAAAAATCCCCGCGCATGCTACTTAGTACTACTACTAAGTACTAGTGCTAGTGCTAGTCAGTGCATTGACAATACATTGTCATGCCAGCGCCAGGCCCAGGCCCCCCTCCCTGTCATTCACGGTCATTGTCATGACTCAAGCTGTCATAATTACCTTAGTTGCTCCGAATTAATTAATGTCAATGAAATAGCCTGACATCTGCGACTCAGTACTGAATTTTACCGTTTCTTGAAGTGTACACCAAGAGTAGGCCTATAGATTCCGTCCAGATTTCCCGCGAAATCAAAACAATGGCGCGCCAAAGTTGTAAAAGCCTCAGCGATAGAGGGCGCGCTGTGCCATGATAGTCAAGATGTTCGATAGCGCATCCCAATCTACCTGGAACGGTTGCGGCAAAGTTCCTTAAGTCCCGGGTTAACAATCCCGGGACATACCGTTATTTCGTTTTACCGTTTTGGATTTCCTCAAAAACAAAGACAGTAAACGCACCGTTGACCGTTTTTTCGTTTGACAGTTTTGTAAAACGGTCAAACGGTATTAGGTCACAAAAAACAATGACCTTTTTGTTGTTTTTCTTAATTGTTGAAAGCGATAAATGGTTAGTTGCTTCATTTCAGAGTGTTGTTTTACAAGAACATGACAATGAAAAACGGTCAATAGTCCTGTCGACCATTTTTTGATTTAGGTTCGGCAATTAAGCAATACACCTTAATGTTAATGCGTCCTCATGGGATCGAGTCATTGCCTGGGACCCAAATTACCCTCCTCACATTTCGTTCTCACGACATAGTTTTCGAACTGGCTATTGAAGAGCCGCGCCGAACTCCAATTTCCTTCAAATATCTGCAACTTCTTCAAACGTATTACCATCCTGTATCCATTGTAAAAAGTAACGTCCTCCCTTGAAGTTTTCCAGCGCCATTTTTGCTTGCAACTCTTAAGCCCCACCAACTGAATCGCGTGAGAAAGGGGTCAGGGTCACGCCAGGAATCATCACACCACGCATTATGCCGAGGTAACACTTTTTCATGTAAAGCATGTTCCCCCCCCCCCACCCCCCTTGCCCAGCACCACAAAATGCACCACGGACTGTTCACTATGACACTGAAATAAAAAAAACAGTCTGTATTCAATACTGACCGTTTTGCTGTTTTTCAAAGTTATTTGTGTAAAACTGTAAAACAAAAATCATTGATCGTTATGCTGTAATGAATTTTATTAAACTTATAAAACAGAGAAACCGTATTTATCTTAATACCGTTTGACCGTTTTACAAAACTGTAAAACGATAAAACGGTCAATGGTTTGTTTACTGTTTTTGTTTTGAGGAAATGCAAAACGGTAAAACGAAATAACGGTATGTCCCGGGATTGTTAACCCCTTACAATCTAACATTTTCCGTAACATCTGACTTTGCCCTATTTTGCTAAAAAATGCAAGGTTAACCCCTAACAATTCGATTTTTTTCATAATCATCAAATTTTGCCCAATTTTACAAATAAAAGCAAGGATAACCCCTTACATCTGAAATTTTCCAGAAACATCTGATTTTGCCCTAATTTGGCAAGGTTAACCCTTTACAATTTTTGATTTTTCATTCAAATTTGATTTTGCCCAATTTTGCTAAAAATGCAAGGTTAACCCCTTACGATCTGAACTTTTCCAGAAACCTGTGATTTTGCCCTATTTTGCGTAAAAAAATGCAAAGTTAACCCCTTACAATATGAAATTTTCCATAAACACCTGATTTTGCCCTATTTTGCTATAAAAAAAAAAATTGGTGAACCTCTTACAATTTGAAATTTTTCATAAACTTCTAATTTTGCCGAATTTGAAATTTTTCATAAACATCTAATTTTGCCAAATTTCACTAAAAAAAAGTAAGGATTTTTTTCCCCCAGAAACATCTGGTTTTGCCTAATTTTGCTAAACTATGCAAGGTTCACCCCTTATAATTTGAAATTTGTTATAAAAATCTCATTTTGCCCAATTTTGCTAAAATGTTGCTTTTAATCGGCAATTTTCCTGAAACATAAGATTTTGCCCTAATTTGGCAAAGGTTAACCCCTAACAATTTTTGATTTTTCATACAAATCTGATTTTGCCCAATTTTGCTAAAAATGCAAGGTTAACCCCTTACAATCTAAAATTTTTCATAAACACCTGATTTTGCCCTATTTTGCTAAAAATGCAAGGTTAACCCCTAACAATTAGAAATTTTTCATAAACATTAAAATTTGCCCAATTTTACTACAAAAGCAAGGTTAGCCCCTTACAATTTGAAATATTTCATAAATATCTAATTTTGCCCAATGTTATTCAAAAAGCAAGGTTAACCCCTTACATCTGAAATTTTTCAGAAACATCTGATTTTGCCCAATTTTGCTAAAAATGCAAGGTTAACCCCTTACAATTTGATTTTTTTCATAAAAATCTGATATTGCCCAGTTTTGCTAAAACTGCCAAGTTAATTAATCCCTTACAATCTGCAATTTTCCAGAAACATCTGATTTTGCCCTATTTTGCTAAAAAAAAATGCAAGGTTAACCCCTGACAATTTAAAAATTTTCATACAAATCTGATTTTGCCCAATTTTGCTAAAAATGCAAAGTTAACCCCTCACAACCTGAAATTTTTCATAAACACCTGATTTTTCCCTATTTTGCTAAAAAAATGCAAGGTTAACCCCTGACAATTTGAAATTTTTCATAAACATTTAAATTTGTCCAATTTCACTAAAAAAGCAAGGTTAACCCCTTACTATTTGAAATTTTTCATTCACATCTTATTTTGCCAAATATCACTAAAAAAGCAAGGTTAACCCCTTACAATCTGAAATTTTCCAGAAAGATCTGATTTTGCCAAATTTCGCTAAAAATTCAAGGTTCACCCCTTACAATTTGAGATTGTTCATATAAATCTGATATTGCCCAGTTATGCAAAAAATGCCAAGTTAACCCCTTACAATCTGCAATTTTCAAGAAACATCTGATTTTTCCAAATTTCTCTTAACAAATGCAGGGTTCACCCCTTACAAATTGAATTTTTTTATCAACATCTAACTTTGCCAAATTTCACTAAAAAAGCAAGGTTAACCCCTTTCAATCTGCAATTTTCCAGAAACATCTGATTTTACCCTAATTTGGCAAGGTTAACCCCTTACAATGTTTGATTTTTCATACAAATCTGATTTTGCCCAATTTTGCTTTAAAAAATGCAAAGTTAACCCCTTACAATCTGAAATTTTCCATAAACACCTGATTTTGCCCAATTTCGCTAAAAAATGCAAGGTTAACCCCTGACAATTTGAAATTTTTCATAAACATTTAAATGTTTCCAATTTTACTAAAAAAGCAAGGTTAACCCCTTACATTCTGAAATTTTCCATAAACACCTGATTTTGCCTAATTTCGCTAAAAAATGCAAGGTTAACCCCTGACAATTTGAAATTTTTCATAAACATTTAAATTTTTCCAATTTTACTAAAAAAGCAAGGTTAACCCCTTACATTCTGAAATTTTCCAGAAAGATCTGATTTTGCCCAATTTCGCTAAAATATGCAAGGTTCACCCCTTACAATTTGAAATGTTTCATAAACATCTAACCCCATACAATCTGCAATTTTCCAGAAACATCTGATTTTTCCAAATTTTGCAAAAAAATGTAAGGTTAACCCCTTGCAAACTGTTAAATCAATACATGAAGTGTCCCATTTGACTTTTTAAAACAAATTATATTTACAGTTTTTAGGGTAAAGGAATTTTCTCTTTTTCCTTTCTCTTTTGTTGTTGCTATATTTTGCGAATTAACTCATTCGTATGGAATGCTCATAGTCAATCAAAGAATATTTCACACATAGGGGCCTAAATTATATTTTTTAATTTAATAGAGGCGCAATGATCGTGCTATCATATACCATTCTATTACTATTGCGAATTACTGTATTGTTTGGAATGCTCATAATTAAAGACACGTTATTTGAAAGATGTATAAATAATATTTATATTACAATGTACATCTTTATTTTTTTTCCCGGTAGAATTTATGGCGTTTCTTACGTCAATTGGCAATCGCGTCACTATATAATGATAGTCCAATTGATCAAACGAAACTCCGTTTCGATTATAGTCAATTATGAAATATTCATTGATTTATGACATACACCTTTGTTTCAATTTTGATACTACCCGTAGACCTGCCGAGCAGCTGTAGATATCAAACTAAACCAAAGTATAAAAGATAGAGGGTATAACAAAATCAAAAAGTTATGTGCTAGTCAAGCTTTCAGGGATCGGTCTGAGCCATAACAATGCCCCAGCCGATCCCTTAGTTCTCTTCCGGGGTCTCGGCGTCCCCGACCAATACACACTTCCTTCCCTATCCATCCATATAACCCCGGAGGGCCAGGCACCATGTAAAAGCAAAGAGCTAAGGGAGGAACAGGGCGGCCCCTAAGCCCTGATCCTCCGAGTGGACCACATGCCCTGAACCTGTACGAAGGCGCCAACCTGGAACTCGCGGACAGTACCAGCAGCAGTGCTTACCGATTAAGCTAAGGTACTGTTGGTACTTCACGACGGGAAATTAAATCTCTTATAGTAAATGATTGAACTCATACGTTAAAATCCAAAAAGACACCAGCGGGATTCGAACCCGGGACCCCGCTAACCGTGGACGACGAATCGTAACCACTCGGCCATTTCGTTACCTTAGAATTTTCCTTAAACTGAGAAAAGTTGTCTTTATAGGTGAGCAAACGCGCCAGGAAGATTACTGGGTCCATTTGCTTTACCTTAATGGGTAAAAACAAGTCGATATAATGAGCCCAGTGTGTTTGGTTTGTTAGGAAGCTGCATACCACAGCCTAATGTGCAAAACAGTTGTGTGCTAGGCGGATCATTACGCAACAATGAACACCGCAATTGTGTATTTTCAACAGGCAGAGGCGTAGATTTCTACTCTTTGTATCTGGGCACATATAGATTCGCACCTCCCACTTCAGCTATTTCGACTTTCTTAAAAAGAAAAATAGAGACTGTCAGCGAATCTCCGGGAGTTGAAATAAGGATCGTCCCCTCGATAGACCTCAGACTCAGTAAAGTTCAACATTGGGCTCTTTTTCAACAGCTGTTTTTGCGGAAACTTTACATTTGGATTTTTTTAGAAGCATCTGATTTTGCCTAATTTTAGTAAAATATACAAGGTTCACCCTTACAATCTGCAATTTTCCAGAAACATCTGATTGTGCCCTATTTTGCTAAAAAAGAAAATGCAAGGTTAACCCCTTACAATTTGATTTTTTTCATAAACATCTAATTTTTCCCAATCTTATTCAAAAAGAAAGTTAACCCCTTACAGTCTGCAACTTTCCAGAAACATCTGATTTTTCCCCCCAATTTCGCTTAAAAAATGCAAGGTCATCCCCTTATCATTTGAAATTTTTCATAAACATCTACCTTTGCCAAATTTCACTAAAAAAGCAAGGTTAATCCCTTACATCTGGACGAAACAGATTTTTGGGTTATTGCGTTTAAATGGTGAAATTCTTTTAACGGAGTAATTTCAGTATTTTTTTTTTCATCTAAAAAGTAACTTATGAAATTAGCTATCTAGTCATATTATTATGTTTGGTGCTACATATTTTTTTTTTAATATGATTTTTTTGGGGGGGGGGATGGGTTCCGCTTATTTCGACTCACCCTGTATAACCAAGCAATCGAACTGATAAAATGAGAGAGAACCTTAAGAAATATTAAAAGACATTAAAATACAGAACCAACAAAAAAGATCCTATGTAACATGACACGTGATGTTTCCCTTTACCGTCCCAATTAATGTCTACAAGATTATTTTGATAACTCTTAACCATCTCTTTTGCTCATGTGTTTACACAGTTTCATTATGGGGTTCAGTTGTTTCGTGGATCAAGGACAAAACCAAATTTACCATTACCCTAGATAATGAAATGTGTTTGATTGGCAAAGCTGACTTTGAGTACAAAGTTATCAACTTAATTTTATTAATTTGCCGTTTCCATATTTATAAAATGAAAATGATTGAGAAAGTGCCCTCTTTCCTAGTTCTAAAAAAGATTTGAAGAACTACTACTCCGTGGAAAAATATATGTATACTTGTAATGATAATGTTGGGAAATTTTACTGTAAATGGGATTCCTTTTCTGCACTTTTCCAAGAGTAATTGTTTGAATTGCCATGTTTTGGGTTTGTATGAACTCCTATTTAAATGTGCTTATGTTAAAATATGATTTGTTATTGTTGAAAAATAAAGAGTTATCCCCCGGGATAAAAAAAGAAAGAAATATTTTGATTGATTTTATTTTGGTAAGATTTATAACTTTTTAACATTTCATTTGCCAATTTCGAATAGGCCTTTGTGTATGTAAGAAAAATACATGAACGATCAGCTGCCTACAATATTGATTAATTAATGAATCAATCAAAACTGTATCCTTATTTGTATACTTTATCAAAATCGAATGTAGAATATGCGAATTTGAATTATAACAAATGAAAAAGAGTACAAAATCGATTTTCAACGAATTGGATTGCACATTCGTAACAATCGGCAACGCATCCGTCAAACCGAAAACCTAATCATGTATTTGTATTCCCTTAAATGAAACGTTATGCACATTCATTCATTTGATTGATGCAAAATGAAATCGAATGCTAGTTATTGCGAAAATGAAACCCGGATATACGTCGTTCTCAAACTCGGCGCCAAATTGAATTTATGTTTTACAAATTCAAACGCACATTTGCCAAAATTGTCCCGGAAAACCTATAGTTACCGACCCCTCCAAAAAAGAGAGGAGAGGATCCAGGGCGTGTGTTTGGGGGAACCATCTCTGTCAAATTTTTTTTTTAAACAAATCATAGAACTTCATTAAAAAATAATGCAAACCCCCCTCTCTCTGACACCCCAAAAAGTGTACTAAAATACCGACTGAGCCAGCTTGGTTATGGGGTATTTGTACACTATTCTGCATAGTGTTAATCACTAATCGTAGGATTTGAACAGCGCCCCCTTTGAAAGTATAGTACGAGCCCAGCCCCCCCCCCCACCCCACCTATTGATTTCACGAGGCCAAGTGTCCGGACCAAAAAAAAAACTGTCTACATGCAAAGATTCCTGGACCGCCGCCCCCACCCCCCCCCCCCCCCCCCCCCACAAAAAAAACCCTGTTGCGAACGAAACAAATTAATTTGTTTTCTCATGAATTAATATTACACTTTTTGCCCCCCCCCCCCCACACCCGCCACAAATCGTGGATACTTGAGTGTTCACGGGCCGGGGAATTCCCTTTTTTTCCGGAGGCGGGCGAGGAGTTGAAGGGGCCAGGAGCTCGGGCGGTGGTCGGTTATGGTGGAAGAGCCGAATGGAAACGCCTCTTATATATTCTGAGTCCTCACAATGTGGCAATAAAATAAAAACAAACTGTTTATAAGAACAAGACTGAGTTTTCGAATTACGAGTGAATTCACGTGCGATAGATTGTCATTCTGTCATCCTTCTTTTCTTTTGATCAACATATACCTGGTTAAATCAGCCGTTCCATTTACACAATTACAACCATGTCTTCGTGTATAATCATTTTTTTGGGGGTAATGTAATTAATTGTTAATTAATAGTATACATAAGACGTACATTATGTAGCATGATCAGCGCTCCTAGTGTACTGTGGTGTCCAGCAACCCCTTCCCCTAGCTTGGAATTTCCACGGCCGGGTAATTTGTGGATTTTGGTCATCCCTACCCCCCCCCCCCTCCCTGGCATAGATTTACGCCAATGCACACATCCCCAGCGAACACAGTTTAACAAACAAACAACCCAAGAGAGACCTAATATTAATTCTAACTATCTTCCCTGTTCGAATGAAATAATCCAGTGTATTGCAATACTTTAATTTTACATAACGATTTCATAGTGCGCCCGAAGTGAACCGAAACTGTGAAGATTATAGCTCCATGATGTAGTGAAAGGCCAGGTGGTACCGCCGTTTTGTAGAGCTTCACAGTCATCATACATAGCAGCCTTGAAATTGAAAATAAATAGTACAGGATGCACAACAAAATGTCCCAACATACATGTAAACAATCGATAGATCAGACCACTGTAATATCAAGACAAACTTTAATTGCCATTTGCAAATTAAGCAAAGTAAACGGTACAGATAATTATCAATACCATCAGGCCTAGTCTCTGTGTATACAGTTAGGAAAAGGAAAGAAAAACCCTTACTGGAAAAATAACAGCGCTTTCATTGTGTTATGTACGCAGCGCACACACAACGCTTCGGTGTCATTTGGGTTAATTATTTATGTGACGTCATTACTTCCGATTTCTCAACGGCAGTGACCGCATGCAATAAACTTTGCATAGGTCGATATCTCGTACAAGTACACAGTACATGCAGTACACGCAGTCTATGTTACAGGTTAAGCTCGGATCGTACATGTACATGTACGCACACGTAGCATAATGTGGCTGCGCTCTTTAAACTGCTTGTTTTAAAATCAGCTGGTGGAGACTAATTCCATCATTTGATGGATCTTTCAGCGATGGTGGAAGGTAGAGCCATGTCTCTAGTCCTGTATTCATGAGTTTGGATTCATCCAGGCGACTGTGAGTAGACGGAAATTCAACTTGTTTTGCGTGGAGTTTTCGTTTGGAAAAGCCACTTGAGTACACATTGGTAAGTGTACGTACAGTCAGTCACGTCAGTAGAGACCTGTGGTTTGTGTGTGTTGGGTGATGTCTGAGGTTCTGTGGTCTTGTGTTAATAATGAGGTAATGTGGTTTTGTTGGTCCATGGGTTGATCCTCCATGGTCCTACAGGTGTGATGGTACCGGTTAGTGCCAGCTCCATGGTGCCAGTGATACCATGGAGTAAGGTACTGCCTACTGGACTCTGCATAAAAAGCGTTACCAAAAAAAGTATGAATGATTTGTTGTGTGATGGTGATAGGTACCAACACTAAGGATGTGACGATTACACATTTAAACGTTCATACAAAAACAACTCTAATTTCTAAATTCATTTTACAAATTTTCCAGAAGCGTTTAAACAAAACCTGAATTATGATTATAAAGAAGGGACCTCTGTTTACCCTTCACATAGTTTTCCTTTGAGTAAAAGTAAGATCTAGGCTAGTCCGAGTAACTTGGACCCAACTTATCGCCTTTTTTAACATTTGGACATGGTCTGGCGATAGTGGGGTCCAAGCTAATACCGTGTCCTGGACAACATCATCATGTCACTGTCCCAAAAACCAACATTTTCCAAAAAAACCCATCAGATTTCACCTTCAAAACGGCCTCCAAATGACTAGATATGCCACCTGAGGTACAAGTAGACATCGATAATTAAGATGGTTGTACTGAAGTTTACTTACGATCCGGAAAAAAGTGAAATTTTCCGTTCATTTCGAAGAGCTCCCCTCGCGATCTTGAACACGTTAAATTTCCGATCGTGTTTAATGTTTGAACGACGCGATTTCTTCTACATGCCCAGCGTACATTCGATGGTCCCCGTATCCCGAGTGCGATTCCGTTACCGTTACAATTTTATGACTTGCCATAGACTTTGCACAGCACACAATCACCAAAGTGGCATGATGTCCAGTAGTGACATACAATGTGTGTAAATTGTCCTCGATAAGCCCCATAAATGTGGCTCATACATGTATTACTGGACATGCAAAGTTTTGTAAAAAAGTCTGTTGTATTTCCTGTATTTGAAATCTAAACTTTGTTTTTTTCACTTGATAATGATATCCGATTTGGCTACTTACGTGGGAATAGCCTGAGAAAATTGAATGTTATTCCTCTAGATATCTAGTTATCCTGCAATAATACTGCAGTATTTTTCACGAGGTCATTGGTCATGGACCTTTGACCAATTTTTCCTGGTTGTTAACCAGGAAAGTAGCTTCAGTAGTGAAAATCAAGTGAAAAACAAGGGTAGATTTCAAAGTCGGGAAACACAGCTTTTCAGGAAATTAAACATGCATTGGTGTGTGACTGTGGCTCACAATACGGAGGAAGTCCAGTCAAATTTGAGCCACATACATGTAAAGGGGCCACCTATCCAAACAAGTCGAGGTACATGTATGTAATCGGATAATTTGCCAACTGTACAACTATTCAGATTCTTTTAATGTAATGTTGTCTGCGGGTAGAACTTGGGCATGAATAAAAGTGTCTGTACATCATTGTACGGTACCTGGGTATCATGTAAGGGTTAATTCTTCATGGAAAGGACATTAAGCTGGAGGTTCTCATAAGAAATCTTCACAAACAGAAAAAGACTTGGTGTGTTGCTTTGAGTTTCAGATTTAAATTCGAAGAAACTGTGACTTGTTTTGCATAATTTTAATTCTTATGTTTATGTACAAAAATGTACATTGTAAATTGTCTGCATCAATGTTTGTCTACGTCATGCCCTATTTTAATAATAATTTGTGTTTTCGTCAGATACATGTATTGGCAAGCCAACAACTTTTGCCAATTCCCAACTGGCCAAGGTGAATGATGTTTTATAATGAAAGTCTCAAGTAAAGGGTATTGATGTACAGTAGGCTAATTATAGGCAGAACTTGGTCCATGGAGTCTATGGAGAGACTTAAAATTTGCAAATTTCTAAGCATAGCCTACCTTTTACTTTGTGTATTGCTCACAAATGACACTCTCTTTGATTCGATCAACAATCATTGTAAAAAGTTTAGTTGTGTACAAAGTGTATCGTACAGCATCATAACCCAGGAAGTTCACTCACAGGGTGATCCAGGAAATGTGTGGTTTGTTTTCAAAAGAATTTTCTTGTCTCCTTCATTTTCAGCTTGCTGACGTTGACTTTATTACTTTGTCATCATGGCGACCAAGAAGAAGGGTTTACACGGTGCCAAGCGACGATCCAACTCATCTCCTGAGTTACACCTTCAAGTTGATGATAGAGCAGCATTGGAAGATGGACTTGGTCAAATTAGGAAAAAAGTGGACAGTGTCTGCAGTGGTGAAGAAGGTGCTAAATCTTTGCAGGGGACATTGAGGAGATCTGAGTGTGATAGCTCAGTAACTTGTGCAGATGCCTCTGAACTAGTCTGCAAAATGTCTGGTTTAGCAGCTGCTGCAACTGAGCGTGATGTTGAACAACCATGCAGTACATGTGGGCAGACAGCATCTGGGAGGGTAGCCAAGACCATGGAACCAGCAGTAAGGCCCAAAATTCGTAACTTTAAGTCAAGAATGGGAAAAGTCAAGAATTCACAGGAAGAGAGACGGCCTCCAGCAGATCGGGTCATTATGACAGTTGATGACAACATGGACAGTGTACACTCATCTAGCTCAGAGATGGAAGAAACGGGAGGACTGGCCCCAAAACAATCCAAGAGGCAAGGCTTTGGTCGTGTTGCCAGTGCACTTGTTGCGAAGTTCCGCCTCAAAACACACAGACATCAACGTAGAGGTTCCACAAGTGACTCTGACTCCTCATCAAGTGCCAATGAGATTAAGATTGAATCTCCTCGTCCTCGGTCTAAATCATTCAGTGGTCGTATTATGCGCAAGTTTGGCTCAAAGGATAAGGCAGGCATTGGGAGAGACTCACCTCGCCGTGATATGACGAGGAGAAAAGCACAATCCCACGCTAGTCGCATCCAGTCTTGTATTGGAGTTGTCTTCACAGGAAAGGCAGCAGCAAAACAGAAGGGAAAGGCCTCAAAGAATGAGAATGATGCTCAGAGACCACGGCGATATACTCCAGTCATCAATCTAGATGAGTTCAACCCTGATGATTATCCCATAGAAAGTGAGGATGACATTCAGAGAGTCTTACGAGAACAAGAGATCCGTGACGGTGTGGATCCACCCCCAGGATATCAGCCACATTTCTTTGCTGAGGCTGAAACCCATCCTGAACCATCTACAAAAGTTACTGATGCAGAGAAACCCTATCATCATACGAGTAAACTAACAGAAACGCCATCTTGGAATGGGTGTAGTGCCGTGGCCGCAGCAGCAACTCCTGTAGTACAAGGACCCAGTCACACCACAGCAAACATCTACGATCAGTATGGTTCCCTGACACCAGAAGGGAACTACATCCCCAGGACAGTACATACACAGATTGACTACATGCACTGTCTGGTACCAGACCAGAAGAGTATAATGGGAAGCTCTTTCTACTGGGGTAAAATTGACCGCTTTGAAGCAGATCTACTCTTAGAGAACAAACCAGAGGGGACATTCTTGTTACGTGACAGTGCACATGATGAGTTTGTTTTCTCTGTGAGTTTCCGTCGTTACGGACGCACCCTCCATGCTAGAATCGAACAATGGAAACACAAATTTAGTTTTGATGCTCATGACCCGGGAGTATATTCCTCACACACAATCTGTGGTCTACTCAAACACTACAAGGACCCTAACTTCTGCATGTTCTTTGAACCAATGCTGACTATCCCACTACCAAGACCGAATCCACCTTCACTACAAGAACTTGCAAGAGCAACAATCTGTTCGCACACAACATACGATGGCATCACCCACATGGCATTACCGCGTACCCTGAAGGAGTATGCGAGAGAGTACCATTATAAGCAGAGGGTTCGTATGAGAAGGTTTGAGGTGCCTGAAATGCCAGTAGTGGCTGAACAGAGAGTGGGGGTTATTACCAAGACCTGTATATCCCGGTAAATAGGAAAGTCTGTCATTTTAAAACAAGACTACAAAGTACAATCCCAGCAAACTCATTCTATTACACAGAAACTGGTACCGGTAAACAACTCAATGTTTCAAGCAGAAGTAACGTTATCTTTTCTTATAATATTAATCTTGTCCTGTGTGTATGGATAAAATTTGTCAAATTTGTTATGCCTCTCAATTCTCGAAAAAGTGTCGGCCCAATTGGGGATTTTAGAGGTTTGATTTCTAATTAAAAATATTAAATGTACTGAAACATTAACATGATCTTACAGCACCACTGGACTTTTGTTTTGGTTTGTAATGAAGTAAGAGGTATACTCGGATTAAACAGTGTGTGCACAACAACTTGTTTGTAGAAAAATACAATAAAGGCTGTCGGCAACAGTTCCATTGATTTTGTTTTTGACAAAATAACTGGCGTTTGACTCAAGTGCCAATATTGCTTATAAATGTTAGCACACATCTCTATCCCTGTCTTTGGTATACATACCGGTTCATTGGGATACAGTTTCAAAGTCATGGTTCAGTGAACATTGTGGCACATACGACACAGCACAATAATGCCATTGGCGACTGTTCTTTTCAATGCTGAATATTTTGTACTGTAGGTATTTAACAATACAAGTGAATCATTGTGGAAAGCAGTGTAAATGAAATGAACGGGTATAAATTGCAACATTTACTGTGGTGGAAATACATGCATCCATGAATTAAAGTTGAAATTCTGAAAAGAGAAGACAGTTGGTTTTACTTTTGAATAGCCCTGTTCATGGGTGATATAGACTTGCATTCAAATACATGTAAACAGTGGGTAAGAACATACAAGTCCACACAAGGTGTATTTGAAAGAAACCATATCAATTATTGCAACTACCGGTACATATTATGTACGCCTGAAATAAAATTTGTATACTAGTACATGTCTTTTAAAATACATGTAATCTTGCATTTCTGTAATACAAGAAAATAATCAACATGTGTGTTGTAAATATATGAACATGTACATGTACAGTGTCATGCTGTGTACATTTTACTTTATCTTCAAGCAAACTTGAATCCTCGATCCTGATTGGTCGATCCATGGCAACAAGCTGTGCTACATATAACCATACCGCACGGCCACGGACCATACCGCACTCCGCGTATTGCGCTATTCTAAGCCTACGTGACGCGATTAGTGCTGCACAATTCACTGTGAATTCAAAAGTTGCGCGTAGGTTACAGCATGCGTGTTCCAACTTTACTGTGCGTCAAGTTTGCTTGAAGATAAATTCGTTATCGCACTTGCGCTTGTGGAACACGGAAAATGAAGTGCGTCTGTGTCCCACATACTTCAGCCTCGTGGTATGTGGGACACAGACGCACTACATTATTTCGTGTTCCACTCGTGCTCGCAAGATAACTAAAAGTGTCCATATGGACAGCACAACTACAGTATGTCATACATGTACATGTACATGTATACCTACAATCAATGATGCCCTTGCCTTGATGCATGTATTCAGGATTACCTTCATGCGGATCAATTGGCATCTACATTGTATATGTAGACTTCATGGACACACAATTCTGAAGCATACACATGACATGTACACGTACATGTACATGTCCTGTAGACCTGTACTGTTTTGGGACACCTGGCAGACTTATTCAAGTTTATGGCCTTGTAGTTTTGTGGCTGGCCTAGAGTTCCCAAAGCACTTTGGTCCAAGACACAGACTATTCTGTAGCATTCTTGTTGTAATGTTTGCAACCTCTATAGATGTGATATACAAAGTACATGGACTTGCACAAGTCTATGGCCTTGGTGTAGGAAAGTGTCTGGCCCAGGCAGTTGACCATGGCCTGAACAAAGGCACAGACCGTGTATAGACTATAGTACATGTACATGTTGGCTGTTGGTTATTTTGCCCTTCATTTAAGTACATGTATGGGTGCATCTAACAACTACTGCTACATGTGTATATTTGTTGCAGATTATTTTGTCCCTTTACCAGAGTTTCTATTATACACGTACAAAGTGTTATTTGTAATCTATAGGTACATGTACATAATTAAAGAGGATATTTTGTGAACCTCATGGCAAACAATGTCAGAAATTTAACTTCATTCATGTACAAATGTGTGCGAACACAGAACATTCATGTGCCTATATGCAATGATTTAAATTTCCATGAATTCTAGCATATAGTCGGAAATGACTGCTAGTTGAAAAAATAACTACTGATTTAAAGAATTAGAGAATATTTTATTTGTAATTCATATTTGACTTATTCTGACTAGTTTTGCACATGTACGGCAACCGGGTCTGTATCCTCCATGGTTTGGCAGTGTTTGGGATGCATCTGTGCGTTAAAGTGTTGAGAGTTTCCACCAAATTGCACTAAGTCACGAGCAAAGTTTGAACCATTTTGAGTAGGTCAGGCATGTATAATGTGCTGCCTTCTTAGTAGCCTGTGACACTGTGAATAGACATCTTGTTGTTTAACTTGTACGTACACCTTGCTTGTTTCATTCGCAATGAACAAGGGCATTATATTGTGAGATAAACATTATCGTCAGTTTAACAGACCACACTTTGTCAAGCCAGCTGCATACCATTATACAGAGGCCAAGGCATGACTAAGGCCAAATTTTGCAGTTTGAATCGTACATGATTTTCAGTTTGTTTCCTGCTCTTTACCAAAGGTTGAGGAAATCGACCCCGGCAAGTTAACCAGACTTGCTGTACAAATTTCTTCACGTACTGTACTTTCCTCTTCTGCAGTCAGCGTTTCCGTTTGAATAACCTACACCAAAACATGTCCAGACTTGCCCAGATTTGGGGGACGCGGTGCCAACTGGCGTTTTGTCATTTTGTTTGCATTTTCATTTTTGGGGTGTTTAGCTGATCGCTCAGTGTGATTTTTGGTGTTCCAGACTAGAAGTAGAACACATGGGCCATCATCAACCTTTGGTCAGATAAAGAGAGCAGAGATAGGATATTTGTATTGGGGGTTTATGTCCACACCAACGTGGCAAGCTAAAACCCGCCCCTATTCATACAGTGGGAAAAACCCAAATTGCACAACCATTTCCTATTCCATTATCTTTATTGTTGGACTATAAATAGATATACACTTTGAATTGTTATTGGCACTGGGTCTGTGCCTAGTAGGCTGTGTAAATTCCAGGGGGGATTTGAGGAATTCATTTATAAGAAAATGGATTGTTAGGGCTATCTTTTGTGGTGGCTTGTAATTTGTATATATTGTACAATTATATAAATATTAATTTATATATAATGTTTCAGTTATAAATTTCAGAATCTTGCATGCATGCTTTTACTGAAAATATCTGAATTTATTTGTGAAAAATTGTTTGCATCAAATTGCATGTGCTTATATGGCAGGTATGCTCTGAAATTATATGTAGTTGAAGCGAAGTTTTTCTTTGTTTTACATAAAGTCCATGCTTTTATACAACTTGATTTGCTTACTTATAATTCCATTATGTGACTCTAACTTTTTAAAATTCTTTCTCTATGCTCATGTAGCTGTGTTCTTTTTATTTTGAATTCATGACTACTCTAGGATGAAGACAACTCATTTTTGTAAGGAAATAACACTCATATGAGACTGGCATTCCAGAGTGGCGTCAAACCAAAAAGCATTAGGAGTTACCGGTACTCGTCAATCCAAATATATTCGGTTTTAGATGGGCAGACCTTATGTCCACTAGACCCCAAGAGTCGCTCCTAGTGAATGCAGCAGTCACAATGTGGATGACACGTGCATGTACGTGTAGTTGTTTTGCTGAAATGTCAAACTTCTAGTTTTGCGCAGATGTACCGGTAGCTGTGGAACACAAGTCTGAACCTTGCCTTGTAACACACATTTGGCACAGGTCCAGTAGCAGGTGCATTAGTGCAATAATACTGGAACTTTAGATTTGGTTGAAAGTTGGTTCATGTCTAACATTCTTCCTGTTGACATCAGTATCATGTGTTGGAATATTAACTGCACAATAATGGCATGGAACAAGCTTAACCTGAGACTCAATCCAACAAAGTGCTGCTTCTGAGTTCAGAAGATCTTAAACAAATCTACGAATATATGTAATTGGAATCAAAAGGGACTGCCAATATTTTCATTCTATTCATAGGATGCCAAACTGAGTGAAAGAACAAATGAACAGCTGAGAACGACATTTTTCATGCAATTGAAAAATAAAATTCAATCTCTTGAAACTAATTTTGTGAGAATTGATGTTGTTTAAGAAGCACAGCATCTGAAGCCTGTTGTAAAGTCAGATTTGCATCAACAATTTCATTCTTTACTTTTGCAAACAACCCAAACCTGAAGGTGCAAAATGTTCTTATCTTAAATGCTATTGCATACAGCAGGAAGTAATATAGATATGCCAAGTTCAATTGTACATGTACATGTAGGTTATCTGTAACCATGAATTGGTTTTGGAATGCGGATGGGTTTGATATCGTTTGTGTGGTTTTCAAAGAAATCATCCTCATGAACTGGCCGTTCATTCAGCAATTGGCATTTATTATATTTTCGCAATATATTTAGAAAATTATTTTTTTTTCTTTTCACAGCTATTAATTTCAATGTGTATTGTGCCTAAACCTATGCAAAAAGTCACATATTGAAATTTGCACCATTTATGTATACTTCAGCAATTCAAAGTGCTTTGATGTTTTTTGTTTATGAGGACGCATACATGTAGTTGAGAAATCCATGCAATTTGAATAAACTGTCACTAATCTGAAACTGAAAGACAAATTGTTTCCTGTGGACTTATTCCATGTCTATATTTAATTATGGAACAGTTCCTAGTTAATTGCATCTATGATGTCATACTGTAGCATGATTGACAAATTAGCACTAAAAAAGGAACAATATTATAGGGGCCTAAACCAATCAATCCCCAATCATGTCGGACAGGAAGTGGTCAGTCAGTTTTATTTCATTTCTATCTGTATAAACCTTGGTTGCTCTCGTTTTCACAATATAAGTACCAAGTCACTCTCATTACTCATGATGTTTTTGTTCCAAATATAGGTCTTTAATTCTACATATCATGATTCAATCATTTATATTGCTGACTACATGCAAGACGTATATTCAAGAAATGATTATACAAAAAACATGTTTACTAAATTAAAATAATGTGTCGCCAAAGATTCACGAAACGTCAACTTGAGATGAAAATGATTCCTATAGCCTAAAACAAGCGTTACATTCAAGCCTTTCATGAACAAAACAAAAAGAATTTGGAGGAAAAAACCATGTCACGTATATAATCCTGATCAAACATGTTGAATTTACCCAGTTGTCAAAGGAAATTTCTTAAAATTTCACATTTGTTTTTCTTTTTTGAAGACACGTTCACACAGGTACAATTGCCAAACAGATGGAATTCACTGAAGGTTTTGCACACCGAATTCCCTACCATGTTTCTTCCTTGGAATGCAATCATGCCAAATTCCATTGAGTGGTGACAAATTCAACAGGTTTCTCCCTCCGTGGGGAATTAAATTGTTCAAACAGTGCCAAATATGTGCAGACTGCCTCCTAGGTGTTGCCAAGCAATCTGTCAACTTAATTCCCAGTACATTGTACATGTATTCTGTCTTTTCTTTTTGTTCTCTTTCTTTTAAGGGGGAGGGGGATTCTCGGAGGTTGTATCTTGAGTAGTCTATTTATGGACTCTCTGTGTTTTATTGAAGTTTATTTGTTT